ATGTAACTATGTAAAAATAGCTATTCCTGGTATACATCTTTTACATTTTTATATTTGCCAGCAAGAGTGCATGGTAATATGCACAGCTGACATTGAACTAATCTTGGACCTTTGGGGAATTAGCTGGAGTGGTGATGACTATAACTTAGGGGGCAGATGACAGTGGCTGAGGGATTGGGGAGCCGATTGTGAACTAAAGAGAGAGGAGGAAGAGCAAGAACTGGTTGCTGCTGAGGGATGGAAGGGATAGAGGAGTGGCTGGAGATTTTGTTCCTCTAGGGCTGGGATCTCCAAACTTTCTAAACAAAAGGCCAGTTTACTGTCCTTAATACTTTAGGGGGCCAGACTGTGTATAGTGGGAGTGGAAAATTACCTGGCATCAGTGGGAGTAAATGATCCATCTTTGGTATTAGGCGGAGGAATAGTGAAAGTAATAGTGAGTATTAGTGCCCAGTTGTTGGTGCTTGGGGATGAATAGTGCCCCAACGGCAGCATAAAGGCAAGCAAAAGGCCACATCCAGCCCCTGGACCACAGTTTGGAGAACACTACTCTAGGGGATGATGCAGAAGAAGAAATGCCCATGGTCCCGAAGATGAAGTGCGAAAAAGCAAAGAAGGATCTGATACTTCACTGGGAGGAGGAGTCCTGTATGAACTGTGCTTACCTCGTTTCTCTGTTTTGGGGAAGAAAATGCATTTTTGTAGACTTCCCTCTTTATGTCTGGCGATGCAGCACAGATCTTTGCACAAACCATGACACACCTCTAGCAAAAGTAGCATGAGTGAAAACGCTGGGGGTTAGAAAGGTAGCAGAAAGTAGAAAAGGGCATTGCTTAACACATGCAGAACTTCTACATATTTCTGAAAGGTCATATGGTATTTGATATGTTTGTGAGTTTTTCTCCACTGTGGCAGTCAGGAGACAATGGAGACAGTGTTCAGAAATGGCATAACACAGAAAGGGTAGCCTTGTGGAGACTGGAGTGTGCATAATGCCAGAGACTGTGAAATACAAAACTCATGACCGCACAGCAGACTGAAGGATCAGAGATTAGGGGAAGGGGTCCAGAGAGTATGCGATGCTGAATGAAGAATACCATGTTGTAGAGAGAGAGAGAATGAGTAGGAGAGTGGTTTGAATAGGTGGACATGATGGTCTACTAGCACAGGCAAGTGTGAGAAGAGACTTGCAAGAGCACCTACTGTGCACAGACAAAAGACCTGCTAGAGAATATACAGTAATCTGAACAGTAGGTGGATTGCTGGCACACCCGTGTGAAAAGTGACAAAAGCTAGAGCAAACACTATGGAAACAGATGCATCAGAAAGCTACATAGAGTGTTTTATAATGTGGGAACTGCTGAGGTACCTTGTGGTGAGGACATGGATACTGATGATAAAATAATGTCTCTACCAGGATCTGGGCACCACTGAGTGAACACTGTCCATACTGGGGGTCATATCAGTGATTTAGTGCAAAATTTGGACTTAAATTTTGGTGGTAAAATCCTCCAGCAATGAAAGCAAAATTATAATCTCTCTATAACACACAGGGGGAAGGATTGAGACTCCTGCACAGTGTACAGTTGTACAGGATCCACTAGTAAAAATGGGAAGTTTTAACTCCATTTTACTACTTTATAGAAAGATCTAAGAAATGAACGAGTCAAAGAATGGCGAATAAGTAGCTCCTGTCTACTGGCTGGCAAATTACTATTTTTGTATCATATGCACAATTTAATCTTAAATACTTTTAGGGTATTATGAGAAATACAATAAACCATATAAAAGATAATGATGATGGGGAAAAAAGAACACAGTTAAGTTTAAAATATTAATTACAAAAATTTTCTTTCAATACCGGAATGACAGTTAAAGCCAAAGTGTAGCAAAAAATAACAGAAAAATCGGCACAAGGGCCATAACGTACAGTTAGTATGATGAGTCCCTTGTGTTGATTCTTCTTTCAGTAGAAATCTTCCTGTGTCCTACCCCCTTATTCCTCAGAGAACATTTCTACTGAAAGGAGAAAAATCAACACAAGGTTTACATCACACTAAACATGGGCTTTAATAACATAGGACACTGTTAACCGCTTGCCCTCCAGAGGACATGCCCCCCCCCCCCCCCCCCTTCCCGCCCCGGCCATTTTTTGTGTTATGGCACTGTGTTTCTTTAACTGACAATTACACAGTCATGCAACACTGCAGCCAAATGACATTTACGTCTTCTTTTTTTTTCCTATGAATAGAGCTTTCTTTCGGTGGTATTTGATCGCCTGTGCTGATTTTTTTATTTTTTTTTATTTTTTTGCGCTATAAAAAAAAAAGACTGCCAGTTTTGAGAATAAAACAATATTTCTGACTTTTTGCTATTAAACATGTCCATTAACCACTTGCCTACCAGGCACTTATACCCCCTTATTTACCAGGCCAATTTTCAGCTTTCAGCGCTGCCGCACTTTGACAATTGCGCGGTCATGCAACATTGTACCCATATGAAATTTTGATCAATTTTTTCTCACAAATAGAGCCTTCTTTTGGTGGTATTTAATCGCCACTGGGCGCTTTACTTTTTGCGCTAAAAATAAAAAAAAGTGTAAAAAATTTGAAAAAAAAAAAAAAAGTTTCTTTGTTTCTATTATAAAATTTTTCAAACAGGTATTTTTTCTCCTTCACTGATGTGCGTTGATGAGGCAGCACTGATGGGCACTGATAGGCGGCACTGATGGGCACTGATAGGTGGCACTGATGGGCACTGATAGGCGGCACTAAAGGGCACTGATAGGCAGTACTAATGAGGTGGCACGAATAGGCGGCACTGATAGACAGCACTAATGAGGTGTCACGGATAGGCGGCACTAATATGCAGCACTGATAGGTGACACTGATGATGGGTACTGATAGACGGCACTGCTGGGCACTGACTGGCACAACCCCTGGGCACTGACTGGCGGCACTGACTGGCGGCGGCACTGACTGGCGGCACTGACTGGCGGCACTGACTGGCGGCACTGACTGGCGGCACTGACTGGCGGCACTGGTGGGCACAGGTGGGTGGGTACAGGTGGGTGGCACTTCTGGGCACAGGTAGGTGGCACTTCTGGGCACAGGTAGGTGGCACTGCAGAGTGGCACAGGTGGGTGCACTGCTGGGCACAGGTGGGTGCACTGCTGGGCACAGGTGGGCGGAGCTAGTGGGCGCACTGCTGGGCACAGGTGGGCGGAACTTGCGGGCGGCACTGCTGGGCACCGATCATCAGGGCACTGATCATCAGTGCCCTGATGATCGGTGCCGATCCCCGCTCTGACAACTGCCGGTTCTCGGCAGTACTTTCCTCACGATCTGACAGCGTGAGGAAAGTGCAGCTGAGAACCGGCACTTGCATTTCCCTCTGATCAGCGTGTCATTGGACACCGCTGATCACGTGGTAAAAGGCCGCTGTGATTGGCCTTTTACCACATCACGTGATCAGCTGTGACCGTAGGACACAGCGATCACGGAGATCGCCGGGTGTGCGCCCCCTGGGGCGCGCAGGAGAGCGCGTTCTGGGAGGACGTCATATGACGTCCACCCAGAACTGACCGGGCCGCAGTGCAGCCGTCATTCGGCTATCTGCGGTCGGCTACTAGTTAAAAAAATAAAATTGTCATAAATTTAGGCCAAAATGTATTCTGCTACATGTCTTTGCTAAAAAAAAAAAATCCCAATATGTGTAAATTAACTGGTTTACGTGAAAGTTATAATATTTATAAAAGGCGGTATAGGTACTGGAATTTTTTGTTTTTTACTAGTAATGGCGGCGATCAGCAACTTTATAGCGGGACTGCAGCGGGCATTCTGACACTGGGGGGAACTGACTTTGTGTCACTGACCTCCCGAGTGACACCAGTACAGTGATCAGTGCTAATAAAATGCACTGAGACTGTACTTATGGCACTGGGCAGGAAGGGGTTAACATCTAGGCAATCAAAGGGTTAACTGTGTGCTGTGTTTTACTGTGTTATCTATGTATGTGCTTCACTGTAAGCATACTGCTTTCTATGGCTCTGCTATGCAGAGCCATAGAAAGCAGTGTGCTGAAGCTGACAGGGGAGAGATCTGTATTGTGATTGACAGCCAAGGCCGTGATTGACAGCCAAGGTGCAGGTAGGGCGTGTGCGTGGTCCACGTGTGCCCCCTACCCGGAAATGCAGAATCGCGTATATATACGTGATTTTGTGCACCCCTGCTGCCCTGTAGCAGTATGCCTGCTATAGAGTGGCAGTAAAGCGGTTAAAGAGATGGCCAGAACACAATTTTGTATGCTTTCTAGGTTGCACATTGTCTATTACTATCCCATCTAACAATACCTGTGAATAGAGGCTGTTGTAAGCTAACATAAGCCTGGGAATAGACAGTTTTGTTTTGTTTTTTGTTCAGGCGGCTGAAAAAAAAAAAAAAAGAATAAATTCCCCCTTTGACAAAAGCAAGGGGGATGGAGGTACTCTTCCCCTGCTGGGACATTGTATTCTGACAGTAGGGCTCTCTGCTGTCAGAATACACTGATCAAAGGCTGCAGCTGCTGATCGATGAAAGTTTTCCAGCATGATCATTTGACTGAAGCTGATCTAAAGTTCAGCACCTTTGGGAGACAGGGAGTGCTTGCATAAGGACTTTCATTTTCCTGTCAGGACCGCCAGGTATTATTTTATTACAATTTGCAGATTTAGAAAGATTGAAGACAACTATTGGAATTAGAATGTTAACGTTTTTAGTGATTGGGTTTAAACACACTCTGAAGAAAAGCCAGACAAATTCTAGGATAAAGAATACCCTTTAGTACTTTTCATATTGACTTTTTTGAATAAATGAACTGCACTTTACAGGACATTTCCATTTTACCTGTGCAGAGAGCAAGTCTCTGTCTGCAGAAATCACTTTACAATGTTGTGAGTGTAAGTGCATGCATTTGAGATAAAAAAATAAAATATAACATTTTTTTCTTTTTATGTTCCAAAGGCATTATACAGAGAGATGAGTCTCCCATGGAAGAAGAAATTGTGGGTTTGCGGCAAAGCCGAAGCCAGTATTTACAACGTGGGGATTTTGAATTATCTGATGCCTTTTACTTCTCCAAGAAAGGGTTTGAAGCTATTGCGGATGATGAAGTCACCCAGAGATTTTCCTCTGAAGAGCTGATATCTTGGAATCTTCTAACAAGAACAAACTACAACTTTCAGTATATCAGCCTCCGACTCACAATTGTTTGGGTGCTTGGAGTATTTATACGATACTGCATCCTTTTACCACTGCGGTAAGAGTCTGTTTTGTTTTGAGCTTGTTATAAGTGATGGGTTTCAGGTGAAAACAGCCCTGGCATGCCTTCCCAGGTCTTTTTTTATGTGACCATATTTTGAATAATGGGGTCAATATTACTGGTGCTTTATGTAATTGGGACCAAGTAAAGGATCTATACATAGTGAAATATATTCTCTGTTTAAATTAGCCTATTGACAGTCTACAAATTACCTAGACCTTCCTTCATTTGCAAGTCTGAGTCTTTGGGTGGCATGAATTCTTGGTTTTGCATTTTGAAACTATCCTCTTCTTTGTCCTACTTGATGGTACACTTGTGGGAAACAACTGAGCAACCAAAATGTAATGCAAGATTGGATGGCTTTGAAGATGCTAATTTAAATGTAATCATTGTAGTTATGTGTTTAACACAAACAGTAACTGTAAATCAGAAATGTGTATAATTTAGCAGTACAGTTATTTCAGCACACTACAAAATTTAGTACCCCCTCAATGCTCTGATTTTATTATAGAATCTCATCTCCGGTGATCTTTCTGTGTGGTGGAAGGTAGCACTGTGACTTGGGCAACTAGTCCGGTAACAAGCTGCCTAAATGTATTTTTTAAATGTTCTTCCTTCCTATCCATAGTAAGAATCCTTCATTAGCTAGTAATTATAAAAATAGCCCAATATTCACTGCAGTAAAATTTATCACTTTATTGATGGTTTTAGAACATATGCTTGCATAAAACCATCAAATCCTACCTCCGTTTTATAGTGCATGCATAATGCTCTTGCTCAAACTACTGACCTTGAGAAAACTATAGGTTTTGGTGGTTTTTATGTGTACGTGGACTGATGTGATCAATAATATTTCCATTTTACTGCAGGTGCTAGGGCCAAGGGACACATTACTTGTAACGGTAGTTTAGCAGCATTCCTTTTTTTTTTTTTTTTTTTTTTTTTTTATCAGCCCAACTTCAAAATAGGCACATATCCTCATTTAAAATGTGGACTTTATAAAACTGATTTCCTATTTTCTGGGTTTGCCTTATTAATTAACACTCCAACAGTGTTAATTTTGTGGCTGAAACTATTTCCATCAGAATTTTCATCAGCGGCATGTTTTTGGTGATGAAAACTAAATGAAAATCTCTTTGAATTTTTTGTCAATTGACGAAAACTATGAAGAAAATCAATTCCAATTTTCGTCAGTGAACGACATTGTGAGGGAGGGACGTTTCTTGCAACAAAATTTGGTTTTATTTGTAAATACTTTTATGTAATGGCTAAGTGTGTGTGTGTGTGTGTGTGTGGTTTGTTAAAACCTTATTACCATAATTAATAACATGTTATTACATTTTCACAGAGGAGTACTTTAATAAGTTTTGGAAATTCTAGAGAAATGCTTAAATAATTAAACTAAACCCATTAGATTTTAGTCAACTAAAATGTACTGGGGATTTTAATCAACTAAAACAATTCAGATTACTAAAATACAAATAAAAGTAAAATGGCATTTTAGTCAAAAGACTATGACTAACTAAAATCTAATCAAAATTTTATGTCAAAATTAACACTGCACTCCAATCAAAGTGCTTAGTGAACCATTTTAGTATAATATTAATATTATTTATTATTATACAGGATGCTATAGCACCAACAATTTCCACAGCACTTTACAACATGAAAGCAGACATTACAGTTACAATACTATCTATATATATATGTGTGTGTGTGTGTGTGTGTGTATATGTATGTATATGTGTGTGTATGTATGTATGTGTGTGTGTGTGTGTGTATATATATATATATATATATATATATATATATATATATATATATATATGCCCTTATTGCTGGTATGGACACTCTTTTTGGCATTCTTGATATATCAGGGACTTTGTAAATTAATGGGAATTATGTTGTTAGTAGCTAAGAAAGTAATTTAGCACAAGTGACTCTACCCTTAATCCACACTTTTTTTTTTTTTTTTCTTTATTGTTTTTTTAAGCTAAATTGTCCTTTGTATTTTAGGAAGTGATAGAGGCTTTGTTACAGATTAAAACACACAAAAATAAATATAACATTTTTTTTTTTATGTTTGGAGATAGTAGTCTACATTACATATAATGGAGGTGCTATTTTCTGCCCCCCCCACATTTTACCTTTCATTCGGGAACTTCCTTTCTTCATGTTCACCTGGTTTCTATCTGTAAAATACAGCGGTACCAACAAGATACCTCAAAGATCTGGATGGACTCATTCAAGGACATAGAACTCAAGTGTTAGAAATTCTGTATATGGCCCTACAGAACAGACATTACACAGTCCACATGTGTTTTTCTGCTTCACTGCAACAAGGAAACAGTGAAAAGACGAAATAGTTTACCATAGATGCAGCTGCAAACTTATGAACACTGCCATCTATTGGTTGAAGAATATATCTCTACTGAATACTGATGTTGTTGCACAAAAACATGAATTAATGTATTCCAACATTATTACATTTAGGAGTTGTATTATAGTACCAAGCACCGTGTCTCCATATTAGTGGTGAAATGTAATAATACCAGCCCATACCATAACTCCAAATCCACCTTGCTGGAGTCGGAGTGGAGCTCTGTGCACGTTACTGATCCAGCCATGGGCCCATCCATCTGATCCGTCAAGAGGCACTATCATCTCATCAGTCCATAAAATGTTTGAAAAACTCTGTCTTCAGATATTTCTTGGCCCAGTCACGTTTCAACTTATTTGTTCAGTGGTGGTTGGGTTTCAGCCTCTTACCTTGGCCATGTCTCTGAGCACTGAACATCTTGTACTTCTGGGCACTCCAGGTAGGTTGCAGTTCTGAAATATGACAGCACTGGAGGATAGTGGGTTCCTGGTAGCTTCACAATGGGATTCTTCTCAAATCTTTGCTAATTAATTTGCGTCTTTTTTTTTTTTTTTTAATTTTCTCAACACATTTCTTGCAACCCTGTTGACTATTTGCATCAAAACATTTGTTGGTTCTGTGATCACGCCCCAATATCTTCACAATTTCAAGAGTGCTGCATCCTTCTGAAAGACTTACCATTTTTTTCTTTTTAGAGTCAGTAAAATCTCTTTTTTTGGCCCATTTAGCCTGAGGAAAAGAAGCTGCCTAATAATTATGCACACCTTGATATAGGGTCTTGATCATCTTAAGCCACACCCCCCAATACACAAATACACATCACCTGATATGCTTAAATCCAATAAGCATTCAAGTTTATACAGCTTGGAGTTGTACAATATGCATAAAAATGAGGATTTGGTAAAAAAAAAAAAAAAAACTCGCATATTAATTGTGCACACAGTGTATTTAAGATGATAATTTAGGATGAACATTTTCCATATCTGTTCAATAGATTAAAAAAAAAATTATCTGTCATTTCTACCAGTAATCATGTCCACTTATAATTTCCTGAGCTCCCTGTCTGTGCAGTTACACTGTCCACAGCTGTATCTAGAGGAGAGAGAAGGTATTCTCCTGTTAATGGTAGGATCACCTGGTAAAACAAAAAGGAAATAGACTTGAAAAAATCAAGACAGCTACAGATTGATAAACTGCAATATATTACAGGTTTGGTTTGGGTTTAGGTAACATTTAAGCCTGGTAGCCTATCCACATGTCCTGCAGGTGTTCTGCACATGGCCATATTTCACAAGGTCATGCAATTTTTACTGTTCTGTTGCTCAAAAGTAACCAAACAGTTAACCAAAGTGATTTTTCAGATCTAAAATCTAACAAAGGAGCAGAATATGTAAACTCTGCATACAGTAGTATGTGGCTTTCCTTTAACACAAATCTATAGTCCTATTACTGTAAGGACTCATGCACAGTAGGCATTTAGCCCCCCCCCCCCCAGGGCACCAGGCTCTGGCATTTATCTGTGGGCAGAGTAAGGTGATCACATGGTACAAAATGACCACGTGATCCAATTCTACTGAGGATCAAAAAAGGTGCCTGCACATTTTTTGTGCTATGTGGTGCAACTGGGCCCAAATCACACCACAGAGAATCACATATGAATTGCACAGGTATGCTCTGCAGTGCTGCTCCTGTGCGATTCACATGTGAACTATAGTGTGAACCTGGGCTTAGGGTTTAATGCGCCCTGAGACGAGACGAATGCCTGGAATGCATGAAGTCTGCATGGGGCCTAAATAAATCATTTTATCAGCCTTGATGGAATGGATAAATAAAAAGAGGGTTGCTTGCAAGGCTATAAAAGGTCCCAATCTGGTCCGCCTGTCTGTTTTTCAGGCAGACCTGACCAGACCATCCATTGCCCTCTATGGAGCGGTAGATGTAAACGGACATGTCTATTTGCACCTGCCTGCATCCGAATTGGCATAATCAGATCCGCTGAAAGACGGATGGAGATCCATTCCAAATCGGGTGACAGTCGGATGTAAACAGACAGGGAAGTCCATTTACATCCAACTGGCCATACAGGAGAGTGGGCTCTGTCCGTGTCCACTCTGCATAGGCTGCGACATGGACCTGTCATCTGACTGCTCAGCAGGGGTGTATCAGTACAGACAGATCCCCCTCCTCGTCGAGCAGGTGGATCAGGTAAGGAGCGGCGATACTGCTGGTGTGGGGGGGGGCAGTCCGCTCATAATGTGAAAGGGGGGCCTAAACAGTTTTTTACTTGCACTGTTCTCTAGGGGTGGTCCTAAAAGGTGGGGGGAGTTTCCAACACCTCTGAGAAAAAAAGCCCTGTATATATATGTTTATTTAATTATTTATATATATATATATATATATATATATATATATATAAAAATGATCTCTTAACACTGCCCCCCCCCTTTAGAAATAGATCACATGACTAAGCCCTGATTCACACTACCACAATTTCTTTGTGACTTCCCAGCAACACAGAAAGTCATAAGGTGAAATCACACATGGGGAGATTTACTAAACTGGATCACTCAGAATCTGGTGCAGCTGTGCATGGTAGCCAATCAACTTCTATCTTCAGCTTGTTTAGTTAAGCTTTGACAATAAAACCTGGAAGGAGATTTTGCACTCTCCAGTTTAGCAAATCTCCCCTATAGTTTTTAATGGGTGCTGTCTTCAATGCAGCAACTTGAGTCGCTGCGACAAAAAAATAGTTTCTGCACTACTTTTGTGCGACTCCAGTGCGACTTGGCTCCATAGACTTCTGTTATCTCAGTCCCATCAGCATTAGATAAGAATGCGACTTTGATGGATTTTTTTTTTTTTACCCTTACCTCTCCTCCCTTGGTCATCCTTGCTGCCTAAAAAAATTCCTCCTAAGCACATTCCATTCAAACCTGAGCATAGCAGACATGCACATTCCCGCCTGTGTTTTTTACGTGTGAACATGCATTGCATATAGAGCAGCCTATTCAGTGGATGGGCTGCTCTATGTGCGATGCACGTTCATGCTTTAAAAAATTCCCAAAAAAAAACCATGAGTGGGGAAAACATGTTTCAGTTACGCTCAAGTGTGAATGGAATGTGCTTGGGAGGAAGCTTTTAGGCAGCAAGGATGACCAGGGAGGGGAGGTGAGGATTAAAAAATAAAAAAAAAAACAATCCATCAAAGTCACATTGAAGTTGCCTCAAGTCGCAAGCAATTTGCAATGCAAAGTCACAATGTCAGTCGTATGGCTTTCAAAATGTAGCAGTGTGCACCAAGCCTAAATGTTTACAGTAGACTTTTGAGATTGGCGAACACTAAAGGGACCCTGGGGTAACATTTCCTTCCAAATTGGTAAGTATTTCATTTCTTTATATTTGACCATTCTATGTAGACTGTTGACAAAGTGTTATGCCAATGTGTTTATTAGTCCACCTTAATAATAACCATTTCAGTTTGCATGAATTGATGTTTTTCATAAATTTGACCCTGTTTTGGAAGAGTGAGACATATATTTGACTGTGCACAGTAAAACATTTGAATACATTCTATCTGTTGGTTGCTCAGCTTTCCTTATAATGGTATTTTTTTTTTTTGGTTATACTCATTGATCTTGTTTGTTTAGGTAAAATGTGTGGTTTGACTTGTTTGCTTGAGATAAATGGTCTGTTGTTGAAAAGACTGCACCTTTCTGTGTTTTTCAGGGTTACCTTAGCTACTATTGGGATCAGCTGGCTGGTCGTGGGAGCTACACTAGTTGGACAGCTGCCAAACGGCAGGTAAACATAATAGGAACGGATAGAATTTGCTGTACAGTATGTGCTGTTGCTTCTTCGGTAAGCAAGAATGGGAAATGGATAAACAGTTGATATAAGAAAAATTTTTTTTGTTTAATGGGAGCCTTATGTAGGCCATCACTAAAAAAGTAAATTGATTGTTGTAAAGGTAGATTTAAAAAAAAAAAAAAAATAAATAACAAATATGTTATAATTACCTTCCCTGTGTTATGGTTTTGTACAGAGCCTCCCCAATACTGTGCTTCTTGGGTCCCCCGTCTGTTCTCCTGGCCCTTCCTTCCGGCCAATTGTCCCCACAGCAAGCAGCTTGCTATGGGGACACCCAAGCAGGCTTGCTTCTGAGCCACTGATCTGCGTGTCCATTCACACACAGAAATGACTGAGCCCTCCCCCGCTCTCTTCTCAATGGCTCACTGGCTGTGATTGACAGCGGCAGCCAATGGGCCCCACTGCCAAGACAGCCAAGGACTGCTCTTGTTCACATCGCTGGAGCCAGATGAGGCTTGTGTAAGTATTGGGGGGGGGGGGGGGGGCTGATGCACACAGAAGGTTTTTTACCTTCACGCATAGAATGTATGAAGGTAAAATAAACTTGAGCCTTTACAACTACTTTAAAATCTCCCTTGTAAGGTTAATATTTTTGGATTTATATACTGTACAACTGTATTTTCCAGAAAGTCTTCCTATGTACTGTAATGCTTTTGAAGAAGTGATCTAGAAAATCCTGACTGGAACACAGGATGAGATTGGTAAAGGTTAAAGTGTTACTAAACCCAGGACCCTGCATTCACTGTATCTGGTCTCCCACAGTACACAGCACATGGAAGTGCAATTATTTAAGTAAATATAAACTGCTAAATACCTTTTCTCATCAGCAGTTGGAGCAGTCTTGTGGCTTCTATCAGTGTCCAGCAGAGCACTGGTCACAGCTTGTTGGAGGAGTTTTCATTCTGCTGTAAGAGGATGTAGGACCCCTGACCTCTGTCTGGCCAGTGTTAATTGGCCCTGTGCCGATCACATGCACCCTCCCAAAAAAACAAAACAAAACAACTCTCTAGTAATACCCACCAAACTCAGCATGTGCAGAATGCCTCCTAGGGCTCTGTGCTATCAGAAGATGAATTGGGGACAGTGGAAGAAGGGGAGGTTCAGAGAAAAGAGATCAAATATCCTTTTTACACAATGCAGAGGATCAAATATCCTTTTTACACAATGCAGAGGATCAAATATCCTTTTTACACAATGCAGAGGATTAACCCCTTAGGTTCCACAGTGAGTATAACAAGCATGCTTTACTGCATATACGGCCTGATTTTACTGTTGCGGATTTAGTAACACTTTGTCCTCATCGGACGTTTTTTTGGCTTTTGGAGGTTTTTTCTACAACCAGTAAAACTCCCCAGTATGTTATCCTATGTGTCCATGCTGTAATCAGCGTATTTTTGTCAGAGGTGTTTTTTGGCTAGAAAAAAATCCCAGAAATAGTGGGTTTCTAGAGGAGTTTTTTGCTGAAAAAAACTAGGTAAAACGTGGGAAACCAGTGTTTTTGGACATTTTTTTTGTGAGCAAAAAAAATTTATTTTGGTAACAAACAACTAAAAAAAACGCAAATGCGAAAAAATGGCAAAAAACGCAGCTAAACGTTAATGCAAAAACACTGAAAAACCTGTGTTATTTAATGTGACTTTACACAGCTAACACTACCAGCGTTATTAAAATGCCCAGTGTGCATGGAGCCTAAAAGTTCACTTTTTTGTGACCTGACTCATGACACTTCAATAAAATTTGCAGGAAAAAAGTAAATCGAATGGCAGTAGTTCTTTAGATAGATTTTTCTATTGTGTTGCTATCCCCTTGCTAACATGCTAAAAAGAAGGACCCTTGCTGTGTGGAAGCAGGTGACTTTTTGTAGAAATCTGACCCTCTGCTGAGTCAGACCTAGAGCTCTCCAATTACCAAACTTTCATGAGTTTTGTTGATTGCACAGCTATAGGTCTTACTCCAGCAAGAAACATGTCAGACTTCTGTAGAGAAACAATTGCTTCTACATAGAACAGCAAGAGTCCTCTCTACAGTACGCTGGCAGGAGACAGGCTTTTTTTTTTTTTTTTACTCAGGCTTGTGGCTACTTTTAAAGAAATTGAACTTTTTGTTTTTATGCGCCTGGAATGTATTTTGCTGATTTAAACCAAAGGTTTAAAGTTGGGCTTTAATGAACTGGGGTTTGCCCTGTATACAGCTCCTTTTTTAGATCTTGTAATTTAAAGTGTTACTAAACCCTGCATTCACTCTATCTGGTCTCCCACAGCACACACAACATGGAAATGCAATTACTTTAGTAAATCTAAACTGCTAAATACCTTTTCTCATCAGCAGTTAGAGCAGTCTTGTGGCTTCTATCAGTCTCCAGCCCAGTACTAGCTAAAGCTTGTAGGAGGAGTTTTCTTTCTGCTCTAGAAGGATGCAGAACATGTGACCTTTGTCTGGACAGTGCTGATTGGCCTGTGCTGATCACATGCACTCTTCCAAGAAAAAAAAACCTCTCTAGCAATACACGCCAAACTGAGCATGTGCAAATGCCTACAGTTCAGTCTGTCTTATCAAGAGATAAGAGGTGAAGCTTGAAAAAGGGGAGAAACAGAGAACAGAATCAAATGGCCTTTTTACTAGGGATGCACCAAACTTTCAGTGGCCGAAACGTTTACGCCGAAAAACCCCTTGCAGCTGTTGGCCGAAATTAAACAAAGAACCTCTACAGGTGCCAAAAAAGCCTCGTCGCCGACCGCCACCGCCACTCTTGTAGTTCTCAGCCTTATCTGAGAAACCCTCAAAAGATCCCGGTGCTGGGCATAGAGATTAGTGAAGGAAAGATGGCCTCCACTCATTTCTATGCCCTTGGAGGCCGGAGGGATGTCCCTTCCGGTTCCGGCCATTTTTTTTTTTTTTTTTTTTTTTTAAGCACTAGATTTTTTTTGATCCAGTGCTTTACATTGCAGAAGAGACATATGGGGTCATATTGACTCCATATCTCTCCATAAAGAGGACCAGTCACTAATTATTTCTATCACAAGGGATGCATGCATTTCTTGTGTTTAAAATAAAAGTATTTACATTTTTTTTAAAGGAATAGTGCAACCCCCCCCCCCCCCCCCAACATTAAATAATTAAAAAAAAAAAAAAATTAAAGTGCCCCCCCCCCCCCCCCCCCCCCCCGCACATAGTGGTGAACGCATATGTAGGCCATGCCCACATATGTAAATGGTGTTCAAACCACACACGTGAGGTATCGCCACGAACATCAGAGCAAGGGCAATCATTCTTGCACTAGACCTCCTCTGTAACTTTACACTGCTAACCTGTAGAAATTTTTAAAGCATCACCCATGGAGATTTTTTAAGTACCCTTCACGCCATTCCACGAGCGTGCACAGTTTTAAAGTGTGATATGTTTGGTATCTATTTACTCGCTGTAACATCCTCGTTCATATTTTACAAAAAAATTGGGGTATATATATATATATATATATTTTTTTTAATCAATGTGTTTTTTTTTTCCAAAAAATATATATTCATTTTTAAATACTGCGCGTTTCAGTTTTCGGCCAAGTGCATTTTTGAATTTTTGGTTTCGGCAGCAGAATTTTCATTTCGGTGCACCATTACTTCTTACACATAGTTACATAGCTAGTCTGGCTGAAAAAAGACAAAAGTCCATCCAGTTCAACCATTAAAAAAGAAAAAAAAAAAAAAAAGTTATAATCCTATACCCACAGTTGATCCAGTGGAAGGCAAAAAAACCCAGCAAATCATGATCATTGAATTTGCTCCTGCAGGGGAATTTCCTTCCTGATCCCCAAAGAGGCAATCAAATATATACAATGCAGAGGATTAACCCCTTAGGTTCCTCAGTGAGTATAACGAGCATGTTTTACTGCGTATACAGACTGATATTACTGTTGTGGGTTAAACCCTTTTGTGACCAGAGTTTCTGATGCTTGGATCATGTTTAGCAGCCATCTCATGCATCCATAAGCTTAAAAATAATTCTGATTACATTTTCTGTTGGACATAGTCTGAAAACTAGGAACACACATAGTTGGGCATCCCCAGTTCTCTGCAGTGAAGTTGATTAATGTTCCTACAGCCAGGTGCAATTCTGATGTCAACTTAAACAAGGTATTGGAAAGTTAATTTATTAAAGGGCTAGTTTATTACCAAATGAAGGCAGTTGTTCAGATCAATGTATGTGACAGAAACAGCAGTAGGTGGAGATCATGTAAATAACATAGTTTATGCTGACAAGCAGACATACATGTATTTTACAAAAGGTATTTGAAATTTTGCATCTAGAATGTGATTGTATTCTAAGATTCTAGGAGTTCTATGATCACAGCATACACTTCCATTTTACAACATAGGCATTGTAATAGTAATGCAAACAATGGCTGTATTTAACAATCCAATATAATCTTACTTGGAAAAAAATTTCTCCTTTCATGTGTGATTGCGGCATTTCTTCCCACAACTTCCTATAGTCCCTGCATTTTTTGCAGCTTCTCCTCTGCTGTTTATTTTCAATTTCTAAGGACTACATATCCCATGGTACCTTGCTGCCTGTATGCAGTGATTCCTGCACTGACTCCGCCTCCTGATACTCCCTCTCATCACCTCTGTAGTTCAAAAGGCAGGCTCTGTTAAATGTGTGACACAGCAGTGCTTACTCACAGGGCATAGTGAATATGTGTCACAGAATGTTAAAGTGGTTGTAAAGGCTCGGGTTGTTCTTACCTTCATGCATTCTATGTATGAAGAATGCATTCTGTATATTTTTACCTTCATGCATCCTTCTGTAAGCAGCAGCCCTTCCCAGCCCTGCCTAATGCTTACCTGAGCCCCAATCTCGATGCAACGATGTACACGACAGCTGCAGCTCTCCGGGGTCTCTGCCTCCTTATTGGCTGAGACAGCAGCGGAAGCCATTGGCTCCCACTGTTGTCAATCATTGCAAGTGACCCAATGAGAGGGGGGGGGTTGGGGCCCAGCTGTGGCCCTATGTGTAAATGGACACGCATAGCCTGCTTGGATGCCCCCATAGCAATCTGCTTGCTCTGGAGGCATTAGGGAGGGGCAAGGAGCACAAGCAGAGGACCCGAGAAGAGGAGGATTGAGGCTACTGCAGGTAAGTATGACATATTGTTATTTTTAAAAGTCACTTTAGGGAAGTAAGGGTGGGATGGTCATCACAAAGTAAAATGTTACAAACTTCAACATTGTTCAGATTATTAAGAGTAGAAATAAATGAAATAATTGTCCAAGTGAGAAGTAATGATTTTAAATTTTGACCACAGATATGATTTAAACAAATAGCATTTGTAAAGCCTAGCCCATTTCCCAGTGTGTGCTTTTACTTACACAAATGCATATTCTTGCTTATATTTAGCTTGTGTAACCTTCTGCAAAAATGACACAATTTCCAGCAGTGCTAAAATTACATAATCAAGAGTTTGCCTCTATTATAAAGATGTGTTAAAAGGCAAACCTGATGAAATATGTAAGGAGTTTTTCCAACTTGCTTTACTTTGCTACTGCAAGTTGAAGCAACTGCTAAGCATTCTATACATTGTCCCTCCCCATGACAACATGCAATGGTTCTTCTCCCCCCCATAGCAGCTATCACTCGATGGAACATGAATGATCATCGTACTCTTAGCCCATTGACACTTCCTCCAGCTCTCTAACTTAGTTTGTCATGACAAATGAGTAGAATATAAAAATGCGTTGAAACCACGAGATGATACAAGGTGTAGGAATCGCATGTTCCAACATGCAACCCTGCTATGCTGGCGAGCTGACGTGTTTCGGGAGTGCAGCCTGTTCCTCAGAGCTAAGTTGGCCAGCACATACCATACAAAATTTACTGTATATACACATACCATCCACATTGGCCAACCATACTGGCCTCACAATTGCCCCACAGGATGGGCGGGTCCAGGATGCAGACTGGGTCAAGTGTCAATGTGTATCTGTGCATGCACACCCATGCCCACACCCTTGGCGTGCACCACAACATACAGCACATTTTCAGAGCACGAAGCTGCAAGCCACAATGGGAACCCACCGCACTCTCTGGCTGCCATATTACAGTAGTCACTTACAAAGGAATGTCCTGCACAGACGTTTGCTGTGTCCAGTCGCTGTATAGCAGATCCCATTATGTCCCAGGGCCGCTGGAACGCAAGCCCTATCCAGCTGCAAACCAGAAGTGCGTCACCCATCACCTATGGTCGGCCACAGGAAGTGGTGCGGCAGAAATGTGTCGCTGCTGTTGTGGCCCCAATGTACAAAGACACTGATCTACCAAGGAATGGACCCTGAAGACTGGTGTGGCATCCTGAAAATGACACACACTTGGTGCATATAACCTAAGACCCAAAACTAGGTTAATATGGTTGGTATGTGTACATATATTTAGGCATGGTATATGCTGGGCAGCTTAGCTCTGAGGAAGGGGGTGCGCCCCCAAAACGCGTCAGCTCGCCAGTGTAGCAGGGTTGCATGTTGGGACACATTCCTACACCTTGTATCATATTGTGGTTTTAACACATTTTAGCCTTCTACTTTAGTGAGTACCCATTTTTTGCGACACTTGTCTTTAATAAATCTCTGGATCTTCCTATCTGAGGACTGCATCGGCTATGCATTCCCAGTGGAATCCATTTGTTGTCATCCTTGACCCCATTTGAAAGTGATGGATCTCTGAGCTGGGAGTGATTGTGTAGTTGATGTGTTAAAGTCTGTACCTTGGTATGGGCAGGGTGCTGGAGGAAGTGTCTGCAGGCGGCTGTGTGTATTATACACTCAATCAAGTGATTGTACCTTTGCAGGCTCAATTGTGCAAAAATAATAAATGGACATCGGTTTTTCCTACAATTATTATTTATAATTCATTTTTTTGTAAACGGTGGCATTGACCTTTACGCAGGACTTGAACTTTGGCAACTGTGTCCAGAGGGCAATGGACTAGTCGCCAGTATTGCCTTGGCAGCTGATTTTTTTCTATATTACTAACTTACTATACTTTGTTCAGCAGTCTCTCTGTGGCGGCAGCAATTGTAGTTGAGGCAGGGATTTACTTTCTCATATTGAAGCCTCCAACAAGAACAGTGAGTAGCACAGTATTGACATTATCAGATCTCACTCTCCGCATCATTAGCTCCACTTTACAATATACCTAAAGGCAAAACCTTTTTTAGTTTTGGATAGAGTGGAGAAGGATTAAAACATCTGTCATTTTTTATTGCGGTCTGTGTCATTAGAAAGATTCACCCTCTCTATTCTGTTTACCATTCTCATTAAAAGTGAAATAAAAGAAAATTACAAATTTTGGGTTGTTCCCAGAAAAGTTAGAGGGGAAATCTTGAAATGGGAATACTAGTTTCGGTGACCTGAGGAGCCCAAGAGATTCCCGTAATTTTCAAGGATTTCATTTCACTTCCTGTTTTGGCTATGGGACAGGAACTGAATGGAAATCTCCCCAATGAGACAATGGAAAAAAAAACTGATGGTTATAACATTCCCTTCCAAAATGCCTATAGTTCTATTTTAAGTGGTTTCAGTACAGTTTTGTGATACTGAAATGTCTTAAAACACTAGTATTATTTTGCACGAGTTCTTTAGGCTGTATAATATAGACATTTGTTTTGATCCCTGTGTGCTGTGACTGGGACTGCATACATGTACACTGGGGTTTTGAACCATCATTTATTTGGGTTTCCACTGCCAATGTGAATTAAAGTACACAATGACTATGAAGATTGTGCCAATTCACAAATGGAGTGATTCTACACTGTATGAAGCTCCTTGTATTTTCACATTGTGTGTAATTTTCAGATTACTACCCTCATCAGTGATCTAGCTGAGACATTCCATTATGACTATACAGTAACCTTATGGAAATCTTTATCCCAATAAGGTTTTTATTGCTTATAATACATATGCATAACTTATAATACATATGCACTTTCTGTCCCAATTTGAGGCATTTCCCAGGACTTCTTCAGTCATTTTGGTGTAGCCATATTGCGGCAGTCGTCTTTCAGCACCCTAGCTGCAGGACCTGTGGGGGGGGGGTTTGGGTGTGAGGAGAGGTTCACCTTGGAGTGTACTCTGAAAAACCCATGTGACCTTTTCTCCTGGGGTGGTGACACAGCTCAGCATCCTTCTAGGCAATTCTTTGGCACTGATGTAATGAGTTCTGCCTGGGTTCCTCTTCATCTGCAGCAGCCTATTGGAAGGTGGCTGTCTTCACCCTTCCCACAGACTCGTGGGCACTTGGTCCATGGGAGCACCTTGGTCAGGGGGGTACCAACTTATGGAGTCTGAGGCACGACCCCTTCGGACCCCCCATAGAGGTGGCGGGGGCCTCTGTTCTTTCTGTTGACTACGCTATCCATGGTCCTTATTTCTTTTGTGTCCTGGATGTAGGTTTTGGGCACAGATCGAGTAATAAAAAAAAAAAAAAAGACTACTTCCTCTTCGGAAGCTTTTTAGACAAATACAGCTTTTATTGCTGGATTTTTGTTACTCGCTGTAAAATGCAGCCACCGGGATTGTGTATAAATTGACAGGCAGACTCCTGCCTGCCAGGTGAAAGCAGTCAGGTGGCTCCGCTGCTGTTGATTGCTTCCACAGCCCCCGGAGATGGTGTGCGCCCCCTCCACCCCCCCCCCTTTCATGGGCACACTCAAGCCATGTATCCATGCTCTGCTTGCCCAGCTACGGGCCAGCGGGTGGAGGGGAGAGTGAAGAGCGGATGAGCGTCCACTCCCCTCCCACTTTTTTGTGACGGCTGTCACTTTAACAGCTAGAATAGCGGGGGAAAGATGTATTGCAATGCGGTTTGCATTGCAATACATCTAATGGATCACAGGGGAGACATGCAGGATATTTTAGACTCTGCATGTCTCAATAAAGAGAACCTACCATCAAAAAATAATCACATAGGGAACTTTGTGCCCCTATGTGATGAAAAAAAGTTAACTAAACAATTTTTTTTTTTTAATGTAAAAAAATAAAGTTACACCCAAGCACATAACATCGCCCCCCCAAACATTTGAAGCCCCCCTACCCCACGTATACGCACGTACGAATGCACATGTCAGGGTGCCTACATGTGAAAATATTGACTTTGATACGCGTTACATATTCTTGTGCACGCTGGAGTAAAAGCAATAATTCTAGCACCAGATCTCCTCCATAACGCTAAACTGATGACTTGTAGGGGCTTTTGAAGCACTGTCTATAGAAAATACAGGGTACTGCAGTTTGACGCAATTTCATAGGCGCACACAAGTTTAGGGTTTGGCGTGTTGGTTATCTATTTACTCGACACAACCTAGTCTTGTATATTTTACCAAAAATGTTGGTAATTTATTGCAGTTGTTTGCCCTAAAATTCACTTTTAGTGTGATTTTTTTTTTTTTTTTGAATTTTTTTAAATTTTTTTTTTTTAACTGAAATTTTGGGTTTTCTAGACCTTTGCAATAATATCGTGTGACACAAAAAATTGGTGCTACCACTGTTTTCTTTTCTAGAGTGTCTGCTTTCAGAAAAGGTTTGTATATAACTTTGGGTATAGGATTATAACTTTTTTTTTTTTTTAAAATGGTTGAACTGGATGGACTTTTGTCTTTTTTTCAGCCAGACGAACTATGTAACTATATTTGGGGGTTTTTGTGTAATCTTCAGGCCTAAAATGATTTTTTTAAACGTGTGCAAAAAAATTCAAAAATGGCTCTGGCAGCAAAAGGGTTAAGTGTTGCAGCTTGTTGTGTTTTTTTTTTTTTTTTTTATTTTTTTTTTTTCATGTGAGATTTTTATAAATGTATTCATTTTTATTACAGAGTGAAGAACTGGTTCAGTGAGAAGGTGCATCTGGTTTGCTGTCGGATTTGTGCAAGAGCTCTTTCCAGTGCAATTCAGTATCATAACAAGTAAGCCAATAACACAGACTATAAATGGTTATTCTTGTAGGTTTTTTATAATGATAATTTAGTGTTAATCCCTCATAATAAGTCTGTAAGTAAGTAAAGTAAGTTCTATGTTGTGAAAGTAAATGCCTATGCATTTAAACAGTTGAATTACTGCCAGATATGCCTGGGAGTTGGTGGTGCATAGATCAGCCTTTCTTAACCGGGGTGCTTTGGCAAAATGTCTACAAATTGCCCAAAACTTGTATATAAGCCAGCAGGTGGAAGAATCCTGACTTTTAGTTACACAAAGCCACAGGTTTTCATTGTGCACCATTACTGCCTTCTAGCCGCCGGCGTTCTGACAACCAATGACATCATCAATTGATAAGGAGGATGTCAGCTGCCAGCACAGCACCCTAGTTTGACCCTCCCCTGCCCCTCTCCATCAGTGCTGGGGTCACATTAGCTCAGTGATGGAGAAGAACTGAGGGAGAAGAGAAACACATGGAATACTCATCGGTACCAGTGTGCAAAGGTGTATTTACTTTGGAAGAATAAATCACTTTTAATGTTGGGTATCCTATGTGTGGATGTTGATGCGTTATATAAAGCTATTAGAATAGTTTTTCATATTTTGGAATGGAGTGCCCTTTTAAAATCATGGACAGTCTTGAGTCACGACTGTCCATAATTTTAAAGGGTTCCTCGGGACTGTCCATAACTTTAAAGGGTGCCTTGACTGAAAAAAGATTGAGAAACACTGGCATAGATCGCAATTAGTTTGACATGCATGTCAGTACAAGACTTTACAGTAGTAAAATAAAAAAAAAAATACGCTGCCTCCCTCACACTTTTAGGTAACTTCAGTAAAGCATTTGCACCACTTTTATAGCAGTATGACACTTTTAAAATGTCTTGCTTCAGATTAAAAAACCCTGCTGCCAGTTTCAGTAGCTTTTACTGAAACGTGTAGCAGATTCAGGTAGTTCTCAGGTAGTTCTTATGAGCTCCACTTTTTACTACTGCATTAAATAAAAAAAAAAATAATTTTCCTCCAACCAGAGGTGATTAAGATCAACTGTAACGTATACATACAGAGAAAAGCAGTGTGTCTGTCTCTGTACGCTGTCTAGCAGAATATATTTTTGCCACCGTTCTCTTCTTCCCTTCCCACCTGTCACTGGTTATTAAGGATACTATTCGCTTCACGGTCTGCAGCCTCCTAACAGCCAATGAGGTTGACAATGAGCGGAGCCTGATGGGAAAGTGCAGACACTAGTTTCCCATCAGGTTGCTCTCTCCATGTGAATTTATCTGTATGGGCTTACAATTTATTTCTTTTGGGGTATCACACAGTAAAGAATACATTTTGTTTCTTGATTCTGTTAGCTAGGAGTCACTGGGGAACTTTGAGGCCATATTGCACTTCAGAGCAGGTGACATAAACCTCTTCCTACTTGTCTCAGCACTAAACTACAAAGTCATTTTCAGAAAGTAGTACTTGGCCTCACCAGCTCTTCACAACATAGTACGCTATACTAGTGTTTCTCAACCGGTGTTCCACGAGAAGTCCCCAGGGGTTCCATGTCATTCTACCCGTCAATCACAGACAGCTGATGGATAGATCAAGTCTCAGCAAACACATGCAGATTTAGAGCAGAATGCGGCTGTATTAAGACCTCTGTCATAGCGTGATCCTTCCCACCGGCTCCCCCTATCCTCCTGTCCACCCCAGGTGCTTGTATGTGACATCACCTGGGGTGGACGGGAGAAAAGGAGGGGTCGGTGGGAAGGATCACTCTACGATAGAGGATTTATTATAGCAGTTTCCCATGCTACTCTGCATTTGAAGGAAACTGCTTACAACAGTGTACCCTGCTGTGAGCCCTGCTCCCTCTTGTGCAGCCTGTACCCTGCTGTGTGCCCCATTTTATGCTGTGTGCCCCATGCCCTGATGTGCCTCATGTTCTGCTGTGTTCCCCATGTTTTGCTGTGTGCCTCATGATGTGCCCCATGTTTTGCTGTGTGCCTCATGATGTGCCCCATGTTCTGCCGTGTGCCCTGTGATGTGCCCCATGTCCTGCCGTGTGCCCTGTGATGTGCCCCATGTCCTGCTGTGTGCCCCATGTTCTGCTGTGAGCCCCATGATGTGCCCCATGTTCTGCCGTGTGCCCTGTGATGTGCCCCATGTCCTGCTGTGTGCCCCATGTTCTGCTGTGAACCCCATGATGTGCTCCATGTTCTGCTGTGTGCCCTATGATGTGCCCCATGTTCTGCTGTTGTGTGCATGCCCTATGAGGTGCCCCATGTTCTGCTGTGTGCCTTATGCCATGCCCCATGTTCTACTGCATGCCCTGTGAAGTTCTCCAAATTCTGCTGTGTGCTGCATAATGTGCCCTGCTGCCCCCCCCTCCAGGTAATATGCCCTATTGTGCCCCATAGTGTGCCCTGTTGTGCCCCCATGTAATGTGCCCTGGTGTACCCCATATTTTGCTCTGTTGTCCCACCTGTATTGTGTCCGCCTGACCTCCTGTGCCCTTTTCTGCTGCCCCCTGTACACTGCTTATTTCAAGTTAAACTCAGAATTGAGAATCTGCACAGAAAAAGTAGCATTAAACAGTTAAGTTTTAATATTTTTTTTTTCTATTATTTAATGTTATTTTTAAAAAATAATTGTTATATCACAGCTCGCTGATCACACCAATGTTCTGGGAGCTGTAGATCTGAATGTATTAAGGGGTTCCCCAAGATCTCATACTTTTTGCCAGGGGTTCCTCGAAGGTAAAAAGGTTGAGAAACACTGCTCTATACCATTAACCTTGTCTATCCTGAAGGCAAAGAGGGAATCCACTGTACTTCTCTTCACAAGGCTTTGCATACTGTTGTCACAGGCTTGGTCTCTAAGAGTGTTCTGTACCACAGATGATCTATGATAGAGACCATACCGCCTAGTGAGGTGCATGATGTACCCAAGCTATTCGTCCCTGCCAAAACTTCTGTTACCATTCACCACTGCTTCCACTCTGAAGCTGGCTGTTTCTTCTTCTTACTGTTCTCTTCTCCATATCCTCAAGGGTTAACCATGATATACACTCTTGAATCCATAACCGCATGGGTTAACTCTGTTGTAGACTCTTTGCTGCATAACGCAGAGGGTTAATCATGGCTGTTATTCACTGTTCCCCAGTTCTTCAAATAGATTATGAATACACTTAATATGAACACACCCCATGCCTTTACAGAAATTGAGACCATGCAACTCTTTTTTAACAAGAACTGTGTTTACTGAATAAATCCCTAAGATATGTCTTGAAGTAGTACATAACTTTTCTAATTACGGAACTGTCCAAGAGTGCATTACGATACAACTGGCTGTGCTATCCCCCTCTTGTGATGCTGCCCATACCTTATATTAGGTAAAGTCTCTCTCTTCGGTAACAATAGTTACAGCCCATCTTTGTGGGAACCCCATGATTGGGTCCTTCTAAAGGGTAATGCTACTGGTAAAATGGATTACATAAAGTGCTCACCATAGCATTCCCATGCCTCAGACTGCAGGAGGTCGATTCTCCTCTGTATATTAGTTAGAATCCTACACAACAGCAAACAGTTCACAGAAGAGATTTAACAATAACCTTATGTAGGCACCTGCCCACACATGTATATTATTAAAGTAATGGATTATTGGTACCTGTGACATGAGGTTTGTGCCAGTAAATGGTTGTAGTATAGTTATTTTGTTCCTCTGTTGGTCTATTATTATACCGTATATGTTGTATAGCCCACACCTAAGCTGTACATCTTTTTCTCAGAGAAAACAGGCCCAAGAAAGGAGGGATTTGTGTTGCCAACCACACATCTCCAATCGATATAATTATCTTGGCTAATGATGGCTGCTATGCTATGGTAAGTAGATCCCTGGGGCAGGCAGACTGTGAGAATATATATGTGTGTGTGTGTGTGTGTGTGTGTGTATATATGTATGTGTGTGTGTATGTATGTGTATATATATATATATATATATATATATATATATATATATATATATATATATATATATATATATATATATATATATATATATATATATATATATATATATATATATATATATATATATACACACATACACACACACACATTTTTTTTTTTTCCTCAAGAGCAGGTTCCTGCCCAGCCTATTGTACAATGATGGCTGGGCGGGACCGCTCTCGTTCTGGGAGAACGTCATTTGACATCCTCCCATTCTTGCAGCATAGCTATCGGTGGTGAACTGTGTTTCTCGGACATCACTGATCATTGGTGGCAGGAGAGAAATGCACTAATCTATTCCTCTATGTCCTGCCCTGCCACCCCTCCTATCTAGGTGGCCCCGGGCCCACCGGGCATATAGCACAGCACTATCCTATTACACATTTATTCATTATATGCCCGGTGTGCCCTATGGCCAGTACCCCATAATGACAAAGTGAAAACAGAATTTTAGAAATATTTGCAAATGTATGAAAAAGGAAAAACTGAAATAACAAATTGGCATAAGTATTCGCATCCTTTTGCAACAACACTTGACATTTATCTCAGGTGCCTCTCATTTCTCTTGATCATTGCTATGGTATTTCTACACCTTGATTGCAGTTCACCTGTGGTAAATAAATTGATTGGACATGATTTGAAAAGCACACACCTCTATAAAAGTCCTCACAGCTGACAATGCATACTGTATCAGGGCAAACGCCTTGGGGGTCAAAGGAACTGCTTGTAGAGCTCAGAGATAGGATTATTGCAAGGCATAGATCTGGGGAAGGCTACAAAAGTATTTCTGCTGCATTGAAGGGCCCCAAGAGCACAGGCAGCTCTATAATTCTCCAATTAAAGAAGTTTGGCACAAAGAGCTGGTCGCCCCCGGCCAAAATGAGCAATCTGACGAGAAGGGCCTTCGTAATAGAGGTAATCAAGAACCCGGTCACTCTAACTGAGCTCCAGAGATCCTGTGTGGAGATGGGACAATGTTCCAGATGAACAACTATCACTGCAGCCCTTCACAGATCAGGACCTTATGGCAGAGTGGCTGGACAGAAGCCTCTCCTCCGTGCAAAACATTAAAGCCAGCTTGAAGCTTGCAAAAAAGTGCTAGGTTTCATCAGACCAGAGAATCTTGTTCCTCATAGTCTAAGATTTAACTTTTTGGTCTCCATTCTAAACATGTCTGGAGTAAACTAGGCACCACATATTACCTGTTCAATGCCATCCCAACTGTGAAGCATTGTGGTGGAAGCATCATGTTATGGGGGTGTTTTTCAGCAGCAGCAAGTTTAGCTAAAAAAAAAAACCCCCTTAAAAATCAGCAGCACAGACACATAACTTGGTATGATGTTTCCCTTTTTGCTTATTCCTCCTCTTTTCTGTTTCAATATTTTTATTAAGAAAGTTTTGTTTTAGGAATACAACAAGCTCAAGATACGCCCACGCAGGGGCCGAGCAGAACAAAAACACATAAACAGATACATCCTGCTGACTTGTATTAGCCAAATAACAAAATATCCAATGACAGCAAGGAGGGACGGCAAAAAGCCGAACCAGATAATAGCAGCAGTAATCCAACATATTACCAGAAAAAGAAGAGGAAAGAAAAAAGGTTAGAAGAAAGGAAAAAGAAAATGAAAAAAAAAAAAAAGGGAATCAAAAAGAAAACATGGAGGAAAGAGAAACTAGAAGAATCACGGATCCAGGGCTAGCACAGGCAGCGGCTATAAGAGGCCATAGTAGGAGGCAAGGGATGGCAAGGAATAACATATCCAAGGTTCCCAAACCTTAAGGAATCTTGGATGAGAATCATGAAGAATGCTAAACATCTGTTCATTGATCAACATAGCATTCATCCGGATCTTCAACACCTGGAAGACAACCGAAGGGGTTCTCCAAGCTTGAGCTATAGCACGTTTGGCTGAAATAAATAGGTAGGATGCCAATTTCTGCTGAGACCTAGACAGACCTATTCCTCCTCTTTTAGGAGAATTCTTCCTCTGTCCTGACCTCCCCCTCCCACCTCCACTTGCCACATAATCTTTTAGTGCTACAGGTAATACAACTAAAGGGCTGTCGCTCTTGCCAAGAGAGCTTGACTATGCCCAATCTTTCCTGCCAGATCCGCCATTCATAGAAGCCCTACTACAGTTTTTATGAATGACACGTGATATGGGAATGGAGGGGCAGAGCTATCAATCATCTGCCAACTCCTATTCATAGATCCTTTGTCATTCTTAGAAGCTGTAGTACTGCTTCTATGAATGGCAAATCTGGCAGGAAGGGACAGACATAGTCGACCTCTCTTGATGAGAGCCTGTAACAGCCCTTCCCCCCCGAGCCTTGCGTTAACCTCCCTTTCCACTTAAGGGTTAGGGCAGCAGGGGTGGGAGGGTATGACAGAGAGATTCTACTGAAACAAAAAAGTAAACCCAAGAGACACATCAAACGAACTGCACGTTACGTCCCCTTTGCTGATTTTTATATTTTAATTTTTAGCTCAACTTGGGCTTTAAGCTTTGAATACTACTCCTTTCTTTATTGTATAATATTTTTGTTATAAAATAATCCCTCTTGTACATACTGTAGGTATGTATTAGGAATTTCATGGCAGCCAATCACAGTGGTCACATGGTTGGGAGCCCGCCTACTGGCCTCCGGCTTTAAAGGATAAACTCAAGGACAAAAATATTTTGCAGCTTACATGTGGAGGCTGTATTACTTTTATTGGCCAAGCTAAGAACATTTTCAGCAAATACAGAAAATACCTGTAGATCTAGAAATGCAGTGTCTTGAGCTGCACTGCAGAATACCGTTCTTCTTAGCTATTTTCTATACACTACCAAGTGCCCCCCCCCCCCCCATATAGTTTAGATGAAAAGATATGAGCATGTTTGTAGTCCATATCAAGACAAGAGCCTAGGGTGACAACCATGGCTTCCTCCATATATAAAATATAAGAGTGATATAGCCACTGTAAGATGGGGGGGGAAGTGTGTTTATTTGCAGGATTACCAGGTGAAAATTAAATAAAAGAAGCTTGAAAAAAAATAAAATGAATGCAGCCACCACACCAAGGACTAGCAAGCAGCAATATATTACATTTTTAGTTTCGGGTTTAGATACACTTTAAGTGGAGTACTTTCAAGGGCCAGCTCCTGCTGGCAGAAAGGGGTTAATAGTTTTTTTTTTTTTTTATTGTAGTAGGGTTTTGCTACGCAAAGTACATAATACTTATGTGTATTCAAATGATTGGTAATTCTTTATTATACACTCTTGGCAGTTTAAAGCACCCAGTTGTAAAATGAGTCCTTTATATGGTGCATTTTTCGTTGTATGTATATGTTCTTGCTGCATATCTTCAATACTCACAAGATGAATGCATATTGTTACCATTTCAGTTGTTTAGGATTTTTTTTTAAGCTACATCTTGTTATTCAGGTTGGACAGGTTCATGGAGGACTTATGGGAGTGATCCAAAGAGCTATGGCAAGAGCATGTCCACATGTGTGGTTTGAACGTTCTGAAATGCGTGACCGCCACCTAGTGACCAAAAGGTATATATATGTATTTTACCAGCAGGTGTCATTTACTTATCTACTTTGTGATGTACTTAAGCCAAATGTCATTGATCACAGCCAGACAAGACATCCAATTAGCTGTCAATTTGCTATTTGTGCTTGATGCACATTTAGGGCCACCGCCAAAACATCAGCACGTTTGTGACTAAGCTGCAGCTACACACTCACATCTCTGTCTATTTACGCTGGCTATTTGTAGCTAGCTAAAAAGATGCATCTTTAGCTGACCGCAGTACTTTATGCAGCTCCACTTGATGCAAAAATAAGTAAACGAATGCACATATGTTTACCGAAAAAGTGAATTTATTATTGTTTTGCAAATGATCTTGCAAAGCATTGCAAACATGTTCAGTGGGGTACAAGGCAAGGATTCTGCAGATGACTCCTCCAGTTTTATGTGCATACCATGGTACAGATTTTTAATGGACTATATGTGTGGTTGCCACTGCACTTGTGTTCCGTTGAGAACTAAAAGTCCACCTGCCTCAGTGGAAGATCAGACTTGTAGTTTATTCATTCCCATGTCTCTGCCAGTTGCAACTCTGACAGCAGGAAAGAAGAACCCCCACATACTGTCGAGGGGGGCCTTATTGAGGGTCCTTTTTGCACCATTGTTCATCCTAAATATGGGTTTAACGTAACCTGGTCTTAAAGGTGGATTTAAGCTTTAAATCACTGGTGGGCAGTGATCACCAGCATCTGCATTAACACCCCCCTGGTCACATCAAGCCTGACTTTGAAATTGTGTGACTTACAGTGAAGTTGCACGATTTCAAAGTTGGGTGATATGCCAATTTCAGGTCCGATATGTAAGACACCTGATACAGATGTCTATGCAAATCGCACCAAAAGTAGTACATTTACTACTTTAGAAATCGGTGCGGCTCCGACCAAGTTGGAACCGCACCGATTTGACCGCTCTAATTGCAGACAATAGGGTGCGACTTGGCATACGATTTGCAAGTCGCACCCGATGTGATCAGATTGTTAAAAATCCGACTAGCTACTGAAGATGGCAATTGTGTTTCCAACTGCAGTGCTGCAAAATGTCAGTTGCTCAGCGACTGAACTGCAAATCAGAAAAACTATACTATATCTGCAATGTTTACCTTTTTTAAATTGAATAAAATGTTCATATAGTTTTGCCTTGCTAACATGCAAGTCTTGGCATTTTCAACTCCTATGTTTAAAGTGTATTTAATCCCCAAAACAAAAATTGATAGTATTGCAGCTTAGTGTTTTCATTAGAAGGGGTGAATTATTTTTCTTTTTTTCACACTTGTTTTTTTTTTGGTAATCCTGCCATTAACTTGCTGTAATAAGCAGCGTTGTCACCCTAGGACAGGGAGTGTTAGGACTATATAACACTGTGTTAGGGTTACATAACACCTCCCTGTCATCTTCATAACAGGGGGAGATATTTTTTAGTCCAAGGAGATAGTGGTGAACAATGCTATCAGATAACTTTATCAGCTCATAAGAATTCTAGCTGGATCAACAGCACTTTTTTTGCACTGGTTGAACAGATATAATAAAATGCTTTCTCTGACCAAAAAGGGAAAAATAAGAGAAATCTGTTAACCGTTTTCATAGACTTTAATTGCTCTTCATTGTTCTTCACACAGGCTGCGCGCCCATGCTTTGGATAAGGAAAAACTACCAATTCTCATCTTCCCCGAAGGTAGGTGCCATCAGTTTTTTTTTTTTTTTTTTTTTTTTTTTTTTTTTCCAGATCCATAGATTCTGGATCTGTCAATGCTGATTTCTTTCTGGACATTGTAGAGCATGATTCCAAAGGGCCATGTCCAGGGTAAATTTTGTATTATGTTGTGAGGTCATTTGATACTGAGATTAAAGCTGTCTATACACTGAAATTCATTCTGACATGCTAGTGAAAGTTGGTATTTGCATATTAGAGCTTTCCTTTGTGCTCTTGGAAGGTAACAGAGGTAATGTACAGCCATTCAGTTTCTCAGATATCATATTGGGAGCTCACTGTGTATACATTTTAGTGCACTGCTGGGTACTGTAGACACAAGTTCTAGCAAATCTCTGTTTTTAGAGGTCTTGTAATGCTCAGTTGCATTAAGGTTTTAGGTTATTGCCCTTGCTTTTTTGCTAAAACACGAATATGGTTACAGCCGATCCTCCCTTCCTGTAGCCTCCTCTGCACTGGCTAGACACTGGTGTTCTAAGGTCCTCTGACATCATGCAGTGACCATAGCCCTGCATTGGTCCACTACCAGAACATGGTAGAGTGCTGTTTGCCAGGGAAGCAGAGGACTAGGTAAGTAAAACTGCTTTTGCTGTCCACTAGACCAGGCCTCAAAATTTCCACTCGCCTGCTCGCATTTGGCGAGTGAAAATAAAATGGCGGCCAGCTCCACATTGAGAAGGGCGCCATTGCTGACAGGAGTAGTGACAGTGGCATCATTGCTCCTGTCAGTCCAGTGCTGGGAGCAGAGCTGGGACAAGGTAAAGGGAGGCAATTTATTTATATTGGTGGGGGCGCGCTTGAACTCACACGGGGTTAACACAATACGGGATAAAAATCGGCTGCTACAGACTCTTGTCCAGTCATCCATAGCAGATCACCATCAGACCAACTGAACGTGTGGTCTCGGTAATGGACATATCCCCTCTCCACCCAGTTAGTTCCCTGCTCTGCAGGTTCCGGAGAAGATACGTGCATAGCTCCACCCTGCTGTACAATGTTGATGTCCGCTCAGGAGGCAGTGCCCAATTCTTCTGAAGTGTGCGGAGGATGCTGCTGCGGCCCGACAGGTGAGATGAGATCTGTGCTGTACCGGAGTAGTGCTGGGATTTCTAGATTATCACTAGCTGGGGGCAGTGCTGAGACATGCAGTTTTCTATAGTCAGGCCAGTGTTGGGACTTGTTGTTTTCCACCAGTTGGGGGCAATTCTGGGACTTGTAGTTCCCTGCCAGACAGGGGGAAGTACTGGGACAGAATGAGTACAGTCACGAGGCTTGTAGTTCCCCACCAGAATGGGTACAGTGCTGAGACTTGTAGTTCACCATTTGGGGACAGTGCTGGGACCTGTAGTTCCCCAGGAAGCAGCAAACACTACTAGGTCTTTTGTAACTTTATTCTGCATATAACATTTAGCAGTGTAATTTCATGAGATAATTTACAAGGGAGTGTTTAGGGGTGGAATTAGGGGCAGGGTAGGGGATGGGTGGGGCAATTGATGGCAAGTAAATCTTAAGACCTGGTTAGTAGTTCAGGACTTGAAATTGGGTTGGGTGGGGAAATTGATGGCAAGTAAATCTTAAGACCTGGTTAGTAGCTCAGGACTTGAAATTTTGAGCCCTGCTCTAGACTAAATGAGCAATTAACCCGTTGCTGCTTGGCATATAGCCAGATGGCAGCTGGGCGAACAGCTCGTCCCTCCGGGTGGATGCCATATGGTGTCCTTTCCGGAGCGCGCAAGCCCACAGGGCTGCGCTGCGGCACGATCTATCACCGGCTGTGTACCTCGGACACGGCCAATGACAGATCTGTGTACCGACCCCGTTGCCAGTACCATGTGACCTGCTGTGACAATCACAGCAGGTCACATGACAGTTTTATACAATGGATAACTTCCTTTCATGCCATCCATTGTATACGATTGTGTCTAGCTGTGAATGGTCACAGCGATCACATGCACCAGCTGGGCCAATCACAGCCCAGCTGTGTCATGTGATTAGCCGTGGCCAAATCGCAGCTAATCACAAAAAAAAAAAAAAACCCTGACTGAATTGATTTCATTCAGGTAAATGCTTGCTTATAGCAAAGAAACTCTTTGCTATAAGCAAATTGTGTAAAAAAATAAAATAAATAATAAAAAAATGCTGATCACTTCCCCAAAGTAGTACAATGTTACTATGGTAACATTATACTACTTTGGTCATAGTGAAATATAAAAAGAAAATCTTAGAGAAAAAAAATGTAATAAAAATTAAAAATAATAAAACAATTTAAAAAAAATTATCAATTTTTTTTTTTTCGTATGGTCACCAGTCAGTGTCCCTGATCACTGCATGCCAGTTATGATGTCACTGTACTGCACTGATGACAGTATGTAAAAAAAAAAAAAAAAATAGTGAAAATCATTTTTTTTTCCTTTCTTAATTTTCCGAAAAATTATGACAAAAATATTACAAGTTCAAAAAACTCGCCATGCCTGTTATGAAATATGTCGGACTGTCTACTTTGCAAAAAGGGGTCATTTGGGGGATATCTGTACTGTTCTGACATTCTTGGACCTCAAGAAATTAGATTGGCTGTCAGTACTTCAGGATTGATCAATTTTCAGATATATACCATAGTTTAACTCTATAACCTTACTACAAACTAAATAATAAATACTAATTTGAGTTATTTTCACCAAAGAAATGTAGTAGAATACATCTTGGCTTAAATGCATGAAGAACAATTATTTATTTGTGAACTTTTGTAACAGAAACAAAGAAAAACGTGTTTTGGTTTTTTTTGTTTTGTTTTTTTTTAATTTTTGGTCTTTTTTTGTTAATTTAGCAAAGAATAAAAACCCCAGTGTTGAAAAAATAACATTTTAGTTTGGGTACAATGTTGTATGACCGAGCAATTGTAATTCAAAGTGTGATAGCGCTGAAACCTGAAAATTGGCCTGGGCAGGAAGGGGGTAGAAGTGCCCTGTATGGAAGTTAACTCTTGCAGTGGGGTGCAGCTCTACTGAAGGTAGGATTTTTAGGTTTCCTTAAGTTGGGCTTCAAGCAAAGTGTAAACAAATCTCACAACCGTCATGTCGTTAATTAATTTATATCTAGAGAAGCAGACAAGGTTTAATAGTGTGTGTTCCATAAGTCCGACACTGGCACGATTGATTATGTCCTCAGGGTAGATTAAGTAGACTTAAAGTACCCAAAGCCAAAACTCTTCTTATTTTGATGAATTATAGAATAGTTAAAATCTCCTTTCTATTTTTTTTCTGCTATCAGCATCTTATTGGGAAGATTTCCCTACTACAGTGGTAATTTTGTTTCATGATTTAAAGGTAAACCTATGTAATGACATGGTGAAGTGAGCCAAAGCATTACTTTGAGTAGACAGACCCTTTAACAACCGCTAGTTTATTTGATAAATTTTAATTATTTGTGTATTTTTTATTCCTTTAGAAAAGACGAAGCTGAAAAGATTTTTTTCCCCTTTTTTTGTGCAGGAACCTGTATTAATAACACTTCAGTTATGATGTTTAAAAAAGGAAGTTTTGAAATAGGTGGTACAATATATCCAGTAGCAATAAAGGTAAGACAGATTGTTGTCATAGCTTGCAAACAGTGAGTGTGTATACAGAGCATACATATGTGGGGGTCTTACACAATTTTTGGGCTGGACTGCTCCTATGCATGCAGCTTGTATGGTAATCCACATGTGTAGATGTGAATGGGTCCATTTAATTTCCCCTTTCCTTTCACATTTACCTGCAGCACATAGATGTGAACAAACACATAGGAAACACAGCACAGTGGCTAAGTGGTTAGCACTTCCACCTGGCAGTACTAGGGTCGTTGGTTCGAATCCCAACCACACCACCACCTGCCTGGTTTGCATGTTCTGTGTCTGTGTGGGTTTCCTCCGGGTACTCCTGTTTCCTTCCACACTCCAAAGACATGCTGGTAGGTTAATTGGCTCCTGTCTAAATTGGCTGCGTATGTGTATGTGTATGAATGTGAGTTAGTGACCTTAGATTGTACGCCCCTTGAGGGTTAGGGACTGATGTGAATGTACAATATATATGTAAGGCACTGCATAAATTGACGGCGCACTATAAGTACCTGAAATAAATAAAATTCTATGTTAAATCTATAGCAAAGGAGATCCTATATAATTTGTGCAAATATAAATGTTTGAATATCCTACAATAAAATATACAAACATCCATCATAAATAAAATATAGTCCATAAAATATCTTAGTCCATGATTTGGACACCCAAGAAGCAAATTAAAATGTTCCTTTCACCGGTGTGCTGATTAAAGTGGAAATCAAAAACACCCAGTAACTAATCCCATTGGGGAGCCGCTTACTACCACAAGTAACACCCAAGATGAATGGAAGGTCTGAAAGTGCTTTTGTATAATTTTCACTCTGAGATGTAATGGTTCAAGTTTCCTCCTTTTGGTGAGTGGTGATTTAGAGATGCTGACTATGTAAGTGTGATGGCAATGACTTCCACTCAGCCCCTGTAGAAGCCATTCAAACGAAACTTGTACCTCTAGGGCAGGATCTCAGTGTTGCCATCATGCTTGGACAATTTGAGCTATGGGTGTGCCTTGTTTGTGGCAACAGAATGTGTGTCTGTAATGTTTTCTGGGATTTATGGCATTCTGACACTATTTCTATTTTATGTGAGTCTAACCTTTTATTTAGGAAAAAAAAAAAAATATTTTTTTCTAAGTGGTACTTCACTATTGTTAGCCTCTTTTTCTATGCATATGGTATTTCTATCTTGATGTATCCATCTGTGATCTGTATTCATATATGAAAATGGCAGCCTAGAGTGGGGCTTGATTGCTATGGTGAGCTGCTCTCTTATGGGATTATTCACTGGGTGTTTTTGATTCCCACTTTATCAGCACAATGGTGGCAAGAAGATTTTCATTTGCATCTTGGGTGTCTAATCATGCACTTAAAGATGTTTTATGGACTCTATTTTATTTATGATTGATATTTTGTATATTTTCTGGTATGATATTTACATGTTTATGTTTGCTGTTAAGAAAGACGCTCCTTTACTATTGATTTTGACATTGCATATTTATTATTTATGAGGTAGCTGCTAAATTTATCTTGAATGTATATTTTTTTATGCTTAGTATTGGGGCACAAAACATCAATTTTGTATTTATTTAGCCATATAAGAAAGACCGGGATTTGTACTTGTAATCTATTTTCATACTACAACCACAATTCCAAAAAAGTTGGGTCGATGTGTAAAATTTACATAAAAACAGAATGCAACAATCTGCAAATCTCAAACTCCTATATTATTCACAAGAGAAAACAACAAATGTTTAAACTGAAATAATGTTCCATTTTAAGAAAAAATATGTCCATTTTGAAACTGATGGCAGCAACATGTCTCAAAAACAATTAGGACAGGGCAACAAAAAATAGGCAACTTATGTGGTACCACCAAGGAAGACGTGGAAGAACATTTTGCAACTACTTAAGTTAAAGTGATATTAAAGGTTGGGCTTTTTTTTTTTTTTTTTTTTTTTTTTTTTTTTAAATAACAAACATATCATACATACCTGCTCTGTGCAATGGTTTTGCACAGAGTAGCCCCAATCCTCTCTCTTCCCCCCATCCCCCCCCCCGACGCTCTTGGCTCATCCCCCTTAACTAGTGCCCCCAACAGCAAGCTGCTTGCTATGGGGGCACTGGTGCGTGCTTGCTCATACAATATCATGTGTATGCATCATTGACTCACTGGCTGTGATTGACAGCACTGGGAGCCAATGGTCAATGAGGAAAGCGAGACCCAGGACAGCAGAGGGTTCTTGTGCACATCGTTGGATCGAGAGAGGGCTCGGGTGAGTATAAGAGGGCCTGGAGGGGGGCTGCTGCACACAGAAGGTGTTTCTTTTTTTTTTTTAAACCTTTAGCCTTTACAAATGCTTTAATTGGCAACAGGTTGGCATTTTCTCAGTTTACACATTTAATATGTCTTCTATTTTCTATTGTGAATAAACATGGGCTTATGAGATTTGAGAGTCATTGCATTCTGTTTTTTTTAAAGATTTCACGCAGCGTTCCATCTTTTTTGGAATTGGGGTTAAATTTCTGACCCTTAAATTACACTATCTTTAATAAATGTTTTGGAAATGGACAATTAAGTAGATTGTAAATTTTAAGGAATTGATGATGCAGTGACGAACAACAGGTTGACTTATGGCGACTTACCCATCTGATTTAGCTGAAGGTTTGCCTGTTAAATCATTTTAAATTTATTATAGGTGTGAAATATGAAATGGTAAGGATGTTCTTAAAAAATGCTTTATAAAAAAGTTGGTCCCTTTTACCAGATGGGCACTTTGATGGAATCTGTACTATCCATGTGTGACGACTTTTTGTACATTTATATAATAAAGAATGCAACAGAACGTTAGAGAAAATGAGAAGATAAATGGCAATACTCAAAATTCCCAGATGAACAGGAGCAAAGGGAATAAATACAAGGAGATCTTGCTGTTGGCTTATCTAAGGTGTATTAGAAGCTTGGTACTGACTTTCCATGACCTATCCGACTAAAATATCACTTTGGGTGGAGGGTATCTTTCACCATTAGCCACCCGGCCAATGGCCGAATGGCGGCCTGCAAAATCCCTCAGCATTCCGGGTGGATGCCATATGGTGTCCTCCTGGGCATGCGCAGTTTGCACGCCTGCAGAGCCGTGCAGCAGCGCGATCTGTCACCGGCCGCGTACCTTGGACACGGCCAATGACAGATCTGAGTATGCCCCGTTGCCGATACCATGTGACCTGCTGTGACCAATCACAGCAGGTCACATGACCGTTGTATACAATGGATGGATTCAGCGATCACATGCAGAAGCTGGGCTAATCACAGCCCAGCTGTGTCAAGTGATTAGCTGTGGCCAAATCACAGCTAAGCACAAAAAAAAAAAAACCCTGAATGAATCGATGTCATTCGGGTAAATGCTTGCTTATAGCAAAGTAATTCTTTGCTATAAGCAAATTGTGTAAAAAAAAAATAAATACTGATCACTTCCCCAAAGTAGTACAATGTTACTATGGTAACATTGTACTACTTTGGTCATAGTGAAATATGAAAAAAAAAATCATAAAAAAAAGAAAAAAAAGTAATAAAAAATTAAAAAAAAAAAAATATATATTTTTTTTCATACTGTCACCAATGTCCCTGATCACCACCATGCCAGTTATATGATGACACTGTACTGCACTGGTGACCGTATGTAAAAAAAAAATAGTGAAAGTAATTTTTTTGATTTTTTTTTTTTTAAATTTTTGGAAAAATTATGACAAAAAAAATACAACTTCAAAAAACTCGCCATGCCTCTTATGAAGTAGGTCAGACTGTCTACTTTGTAAAAAGGGGTAATTTGGGGGATATCTGTACTGTCCTGACATTCTTGGACCTCAAGAACTTAGATTGGCTGTCAGTACTTCAGGATTGATCAATATTCAGATCTATACCATAGTTTTGAACTCTATATACTTTCCTACAAACTAAAAAATACATCCTAATTTGGGTTATTTTCACCAAAGACATGTAGTAGAATACATTTTGGCCTAAATTTATGAAGAACAATTATTTATTTGCAAACGTTTATAACAGAAACAAAGAAAAACGTGGGTTTTTTTTTTTCAAAATTTTTGGCCTTTTTTTGTTTTAGCAAAAAATAAAAACCCCAGTTGTGATTAAATATCACCAAAAGAAAGCTCTAGTAGTGTGAAGAAAATGATAACATTTTAGTTTGGGTGCAATGTTGTATGACCGCGCAATTGTCATTCAAAGTGTGAGAGTGCTGAAACCTGAAAAATGGCCTGGGCAGGAAGGGGGTAAAAGTGCCTGGTATGGAAATGGTAAGCAAAAAACGAAACTTTCCAGATACAAAAATATTTGTAACTTTTTTTTTTTATTTGTATAAAATACCATCTATACTAGTTTGCCTTCGTCGATGACAATCCATTGAAGTTAGTATATGTTATAAAGTATGATTGAAATTGACAATTATGGAATTTCCTAACATATCTAGAGCTTATTAGGAACTATCACACACAGGTTACTATGTTGATTCCTGTATTTTCAAATGGTTTATCCTTTTGGTCATTTTGATTATTTTTAGCACTTAGGTAAATAGATATATAAAAGAGTACTACAAATAATCTTGACTTATTTTACAAATCTATAGAGAAACCTAATAGATTGTAATATAGAGAGATCTTTAAAAATTGACCTGTGTATTCCATGTTGTAGTATGACCCACAGTTTGGAGATGCGTTTTGGAATAGCAGTAAATACAGCATGGTAAGCTACCTGCTGAGAATGATGACAAGCTGGGCCATCAAGTGTAATGTGTGGTACCTGCCTCCTATGACGAGAAAGGTAATGTATGCACACTGTATTCTATTTAAAATCCACTTTGTTGTTTGTGTGATGGTCTATGTAAAACTGAACATTAAGGCTAGGTTCACGCTTCAGCAGGTCTGCGATTCGGGCACAGCAGCCCTTTAATTATATTGAAGCTGTGTTCAGGGGTGGACTGACAACTCATGGGGCATCCTGGGCAATAGGGGATCATGGGGCCCCTGTGTCCTTGCCCAAACTCAAAAAAGCCTATGAAAAAGGTTCCAGGGGCATCTCATGGGGCCCCCTACTGACCCCAGGCCCTCATACAGTGGCCGAGTTTCCAAATGGTCAGTCCGTCCCTGGCTGTGTTTCTTTCCCATCCTTGAGGGACACAGTAAGTCTTTGAACACTGGAAAAAATGTAGGCCAGCCCCTGCTACTACCAGCTTGCTTCAGTTTTTTGCTAGTGTCTTAGGAGGACATTATGTCTTTTTTTTACAACTTTGCTGTGTTGGACCTTCCAAATTTTTTTGCTAACACCTTTTTTGTTTTTCGATTTTTTTTTTTTTTTTTTTTTTTCTTTAATCAGACTTTTCTCTACATCATAACTGGAGCCTTGTCTGTTTAATTGCCATTATTGGGCATGGCTGTCCTCAGTCTTCCATTTAGGGTGCCACCTCCAAACCCTATTGGACTGGATGGTGCAGGGATATTATGGAACTGACCATTGGGCACTGGGTTCAGCGACAGATGCTTTTCAGACTATGTTCTGCTAGCTGTTAGGTGCAGAGAGTTTTTCAGGTCCCCAGCTACGGGCAATGTCTCAGTCCTTGCTCTGATTCTCAAACTTCCTTAGTGAGTAGGCCGTTCAGACCAAGCATCAGGAGCTACCTTGTTCATGTAGGTCACTAGACCCCTTTAAAATTCTTCTTTCCTACTGGTTTCTTCTGCAAAAAGACTGTGGGTTGCATGTTGCACATGCTTTACGCTCCCTTTCCTGCATTACAGCGTCAAGAAAGAATCTTTCCACAGCTCCTCCTGCTTGCAAAGCACATAAAACCCAAATCTTCAATCTGTCCATGCTGAGCACCTACAGTGACTTGGGTTACCTCTGGCCACCCAGCCCTTATCTGCTACCAATTGTCCTGGTTTTGTGAGTACCTGAGGCTTTCCCTTGTAACCTGAGCCTTACGTTGCCTTACTACTTTGCAGCGGCAACATGTTTGGGTGTTTAGACAGGTGGACAGTCCCAGTTTACTGTGTGCCCCCCCCCACTCTCACCCTACTGCTAGCTGTGGGGCTGCTTGCAGGCACCTACTCCTGTTGCTGACGTCTGAAGCCTGAAAACTGTGTTCTAGTGTGCACAGAATGTTGATGTTTTACAGTTTACAAGCCTATATCTTTGATTTCTATCACATCGTATGGGACATTATGGTAAATGTATGTTTGTTCCAAGCATGTATGCATTTGTGGTAAAGTCATTATATTGCTTTATATGGTATGTGCATAATACATTGAATACATGTCCTGTGATCACTACTACTGGAATAGATAAAAGGATTTTTAAAAAGTGCTTGATTGTGGAAGCTGCGTATAAGAAGCGTTTCATTCACATGGTCTTCAAGAGACCATATCTCTTTGGATCAACTCCTAATACTATTATCAAGGATGCTACTCTCTGCAAAAGCACCCATCTTTCTTATTCCTAATAAGTTTCCCGGAGGATGTGCAGTGAGCTCTATCAGATCATCAGCATCTTTTGTCTCAAGGACTATGCTACAATCCTTCTTTATGGTCACTGGCTTTAACAGAACGACTGTTGAAATCCAGGTTTTTAGAGACAGGGGGATCTCAGAATTTGTGAATCCTTTGATGCTAAAGGCTGCTTTCCAGAAGGTCTGCCATCAGATGTGGAAGGTATACTTCGCTTGGTGTGAATCCCAGGGTTTTGTCCCCCACTGTGGGGGGACAAAACCCTGGCATTCACTTTATACAGCTGGATTTGGACCAGTACTTGGCTCTTAGCACTCTCAAGGCACATGTTTCTCTCCTTTCTTTCTTGGTTTATATACCATTGGCCTCTGAGTCCTTGATTAAGAGCCTTTTCCCATGTACCACCCCCTGTTTTTTGTTCCTTTATGCCTTTTACCTCAATTAAGACATTTGTTCTTCCATTCCACATTGGCTTTTTTCTCCAGCATACTGTGTCTTGGTGGTTTAGACATACTATCACTCAAGCTTTTAGTCTCAAGTATTGGTTTTCAACCTTTCTTGTTTTCACACATTGGTAGTTCTGTGGGTGTTTCTTGGGCTTCTGCAGCATCAGACAACTATTTACTAGATTTGCAAGACTTACACCTGGTCTTCTGTTCACATTTGTTCTTTTTGGGTCTAGTCATGAAAAATAAAATAGGATTTTTGTACTCACCACAAACTTTTTCTTGGAGTCTGTTGAGAGACACAGGTTCCCCCCCCCCCCCCCATGTGTTCATGATAATGCTCTTCGTACTGCTTGATACAAAAATAAGGCCTTCTGGAAGGGTTATCCTGGGCTGGCCTGTAGTCCCCTTTTTTTTTTTTTTTTTTTTTTTTTAAAGCCTTTGTCCAATCCACCTGTAGACAGCCGTATGGTGAAAGAATTCCTGTGTCCTTCAGTGTGCTCCAGAAAAATTGAATTTGCAGCAAGTGTGTGTGTGTGTGTGTGTGTGTGTGTGTGTGTGTGTATCTAATATTATCATTGCATAATATAATGAAAAGTATATTTCCTTGTATTTTCAGGAGGGAGAAGATGCTGTTCAGTTTGCCAACAGAGTTAAGTCTGCAATTGCTAAACAAGGTGGACTAATAGAGCTGCCATGGTAAGATTTATTTTTCTGGCGCATATATTAATGTTTTTTATGTAAAGCAAATTGATGCAGTGTTTCTGTCATATTGTGAAAGTTCATTCATGCAAGATTTTCACAAATATTGTCTCCTAGGGAGAACCTTTTCTCCAATGTGGCGCACATGCTGTCTCAAAATCCCAGTGCTGAAATGTGTATGTGTTCCATAACCTGGCACTCTACATTTTTGGTTGTCCAGGGCAGTTATAGATAGATCCAATATATACTGTACAGATTCCTATTGGGTAGTTGGTTATTAGGTTCCCCTAATTTTTTGTTGCAGTCATCCATAATTTGGACAGGAAGTGAGGGGAATTTTTGAGTAGTGCCCAAGGTCCAGATAAGGGCAAAGGGGCCACCTCTGGTCCCTGGGCCACAATTTGGAGACCACTGCTTTAGTTTGAAAGCTTCATTCTCCACAATGTCCCTAACACACATGCACTTACACCCACCTATTTCAGTATTCATTTTTTTATGGCTTTTTTCCTTATATTTTCACTTTGTAAATTGGCAAATATCACACATTTAAAGTGTTCCTAAACCCAGGACCCTGCATTTGCTATGTATGGTTTTCCACAGTACACAGAACATGGAAATGCAATTATGTTAGTAAATATAAACTTCCAAATACCTTTTCTCATCAGCAGTTAGAGCAGTCTTGTGATTTCTATCAGTGTCCAGCAGAGCACTGGGTAAAGCTTGTAGGAGGAGTTTTCATTCTCCCCCCTATGAGGCTGCAGGACCCCTGACCCTCTGTCTGGACAGTGCTGATTGGCCCTGTGCTTATCACATGCACTCTCTCAATAAAAAAAAAAAAACAACTCTAGCAATACACACTAAACTGAGCATGTGCAGTTTTCCTCTAAGCCTCTGTTCTATCAGGAGATATATTGGGGACATTGGAAGAATGGGAGGATCAGAGAATAGAGGATCAAACATCATTTTTACACAATGCAGAGGATTAGCACCTTAGGTTCCACAGTGAGTATAACAAGCCTCCTTTAGGGAATATACAGACTGATTTTACTGTTGTGGGTTTAGAAACACTTTAAGTCTTTCTTAATGTCTACATTAATTTATTCATTGTATTTATGGGGACAGCCATGATTGTCACACAGGTTGGACTATAAATATGTCTGCCTTTGTTTATCTCCATTACATGGTGGAATGATGAGATTTGTATTGTACACAAGAAAGATAAACAATATTTTGTTAAGCTTGCTTAACAAATGACAAGGACATTGCATTTTTGGTAAGATCAACAGGTGTCTTCTGTACTTGCTGAAATGTTCTTAGCCTTAAAAATGAAATCCAACACTGACACCATATCAAGAATTGGTAAGTGGGATTATATTCGATTTTTGTTTTTAGGTTTAGATACACTTTAAAGACAATGGAAGAAAATGTAAAACTAAAATTTAAGGAAAAAATAAAGCAAAGAAAGCGTTGTATACATTGATTTGAAAGTATTAAGCTTTCATCATTAAAAATTAAAGTGGTTTACATGAATATATGTAGATTCAAGCAGATTTATGGACTGGACATGATTTTGAAATATTTGCCATTTCCCAAACATTGTACAAACTCGTTTTACCTTGATGATTGTCCTGATGGACTTTTTAATCTTCATTCTGTTTTTTGTTTCTATGTAGGGATGGTGGACTAAAAAGAGACAAAGTAAAAGATTCATTCAAAGAGGAACAGCAGAAGAATTATAGCAAAATAATTGCAGGACCTAACAATGTATCCCAGAAAGATAACTGAGCATTGTGAAGAAGGTTCATAGACAACAAGGACAATGCTGGCCTGTTTTGATATTCTTTGGTACCCATTTTCTACACGTTTCCATGATCTTTTTACACAATCTTAAAAGCAACTCCAGGTGAATAGTGACCATCCAACAAGGAAGCATTGGCACTGTGCTCACCATCGAATTAAAGTAATTGTTCTGTAATTTTCCATTACCAAAATGAGAGACTTCCAGATTGCCTCTTGGCGGGACTAAAAACCTGTTGGCACTTTCTTGATATGGGGCTTTTTATATACTGCAGGGTTTTCCTAGTTGGGACGCAGGGAGACTTAGTTGGGCATTGCCGAAAATACCTGTTGATCAGACTTCACTGACTGCATGTTAATTTTATGTAAGTGATTTACTCAGTGGAGAAAACCAGAATTGGGATAACAGCAAAAGCTTGGAAGAAGGATCCCGTGATTAATACTTATGAAATGTTTGTGCATAAATGACCCAAAAACATTCTGGTAGGTTAACTGACACCACATTGGCCCAAGAGAATGTATGTATGCATATATGAATGTGGTATTGACTTTAGATTGCAAGCTCCAGTGGGAGTAGGTACTGATATAAATGTTTTTATTGTGTTGTTTGAAGCTATAGAATATGGTAAAACTTCATACAGTAAATAAAATTTTTTTTGACTGGAGAGCGATTCTTATTCTCTAGATTTACTGAGTAAATAGATGTCACTTATTGTATTGAATTGTTGTAAGGTTAACTTGGCCTGAAAAGTTTGTTTTACAGAAATATATGGATTAAAATGAAAATTTTGAGTTTAAAATTTTCAATGACTTTGTATTAAAGTTGAACAACAGTCCGCTAAATGAACAGCTGCAATACATATGGGCAAACTTCATTTACCTACCAAAGGATACATACACTATATTGCCAAAAGTATTGGGACGCCTGCCTTTACACACACATGAATGTTAATGGCATCCCAGTTTTAGTCTGTGGGGTTCAATATTGAGTTGGCCCACCCACTTCTTCTGGGAAGGCTGTCCACAAGGTTTAGGAGTGTGTCTATGGGAATGTTTGACCATTCTTCCAGAAGAAGCATTTGTGAGGTCAAGCACTGATGTCGGACGAGAAGGCCTGGTTCGCAGTCTCCGCTATAATTCATCCCAAAGGTGTTCTATCATGTTGAGGTCAGGACTCTGTGCAGGCTTATTAAGTTCCTCCACCCCAAACTAGCTCATGCATGTCTTTATGGACCTTGCTTTGTGCACTGGTGCACAATCAGGGCTTTTTATCAGGAGGAACATGGGGGAACTCAGCTTTGGCACTGAATGTTTTTATAATGGCAAGGGGTACTGGGTTGTGCTGGAATTTCTATTTATGCTGGCTGCTGGGGTATCTATTGTCAGTTGAGGGGATCTATTTTTGTGTGGCGGTCTAGTGTTGCCGGTGGGGATATATTGTTACTGGGGGGGTCAGTTGTTGCTGGAAGGGATCTACTGTTGAGGGAGGGGTCTGCTTCTTCTGTAGCTGGCTGCTGGAGTCTATTGATGCTGGCTGTTGGGAGATGTGTTCTTACTGCTGGGAGTCTATTGTTGCCAAGGTGGCATTTTGTTGTGGAGTCCATTTTTGCTGGGAGAATTTGTTGCTCGGGTGGTATACTGCTGCTTGCTGTGGGGGATCTATTTTACTGCTTTTCAGTTATTACCAAATTCCATACAAATTACTTGGCACCACAAAATACTTGGCTCTGTATACTCTAGACGGAGCACTACTGGAAGGTGGGTAGGGGATGGAACAAAGGGGTGGTGCTTGGAGGTAGGTGGGTGGGCAGAGACCAGAAAAGATGCAGAAGGGGGGAGTTCCTGCACCTATTGTCTGAGAAAAAAGCCCTGAGCGCAGTCATGTTGGAACAGGAAGGGGCCATCCCCAAACCGTTCCCACAAAGTTGGAAGCATGAAATTGTCCAAAATGTCTTGGTATGCTGACGCCTTAAGAATTACCTTTACTGGAACTAAGGGGCCAAGCCCAACCCCTGAAAAAGAACCCTCCACCATAATCCCCCCTCCACCAAACTTTACACTTGGCACAATGCAGTCAGGCAAGTTCTTCTGGCAACCGCCAAACCTAGACATGTCTATCTGATTGCCAGACAGAGCAGCGTGATTCGTTACTCCAGAGAACACATCTCCACTGCTCTAGAGTCCAGTGGCAGCGTACTTTACGCCACTGCATCTGATGCTTTGCATTGCACTTGGTGATGTAAGGCTTGTGTAAGGGACCGCCCGGCGGTACCACTAGCACTCCACTGATCGGTCGTCCCCAGCGTACGGAGTCTAAGCCCCAGAGTACTTGTTCACCAGAGCCCCTGACGGTAGGGATTGACTTGTAGTACCCCGGGACCAGGTCGTGATTACTGAGGACACCCATCGGTGGTAGGGGTATTCGCCAGGGGCTCCCAGGAAGAGAGCCAGGTATGAGGAGGTCTGGAGACCCCATTTAGAGGGATGGATGGATGGCTGAGCAAGTGCAAGGTCAGACAAGCCGGGTCGGTAACTATGGGGATGGTGCGGTACAGAGCAGCGGGCAAAGAATAGTCGGGTCACACCCCCAGGTCAGCAACAGCAGGTCAGATCCAATAGGGGGCATTCAGGAGAGAGGTCAGGCAAGCAAGGGTCAAAACAGGAGAAAGCAGCAAGGTCAGGGCACAATCCGGGTCAGCAACTTACTATAACAGGTTCACAGGATACAAGGAGACCAGAAGGCACTGAATGACAGCTCAGGGCCGTTTAAATATCCCGCCCTGCGCTGTCATTGGTGCCAGGCGCGCGCCCGCGGTCTCTACTGCGCATGCGCGAACTTGATTGCCGCGGTCGGCCAGGTCCCGGCGCCCGCGTCCCTGCACAGGGCGGTGCACTGCGCCTGCGCCGAGCCCAGCGCCGCGGCGATCCCCGACATTGCTCCCCCCCTATGGGCAACCTCCGGAGCCCACCCGATCTCTCCACCACGGGTGATCGCGAAGAAACTCCCGGACTAGTCTGGGTGCGTGGACATTATGAGCCGGTTCCCAGGAATTGTCCTCTGGACCATAGCCCTTCCACTTAATTAGGAATTGGGTCTGGCCCCCCCTTCTTCGGCACTTAAGGATTGTTTCCACCTCAAATTCCTCTTGTCCTTCGACAGTTTTGGCCTCCGGGGGTCTGGATTCTCGTTCTGGGAAGGCATCTGGGATCACTGGTTTCAGCAAGGACACGTGGAAGACCGGATGAATTTTGAATGTGTCAGGAAGGATAAGCTCATATGCTACCTCGTTGACCATCCGCTTTACCCGAAAAGGCCCCACAAATTTAGGTCCCAATTTTTTCGAGGGACAGAGCATCTTTAAATTGGTTGTGGCCAACCACACCTTCTGCCCAGGCCGCAACGCCAGATCCCCTCTTTGTTTCTTGTTAAACGCATTCTTATTGTCCTCTTGGGCCCGAGCAATGGCTTCCTGGAGTACTTTGTTAGCGGAGAAGAAGGTTAATGCATCCTGCGTTGTCGGAACTGGGCATTCAGAGACCAAATCAGGGAGAAAGACAGGGTGAAACCCATAATTAGAAAAGAATGGACTGCCCCGTTGCAGAATGGCTTGCGTTGTTATAAGCGAACTCCGCCAAGGGTAAGAGTGGCAACCAATCATCCTGCAGGAAAGACGTGTAGCAACGCAAGTATTGCTCCAGGGTCTGGTTAGTCCTCTCGGTCTGACCGTTGGTTTGAGGGTGGAACGCAGAGGAGAGGGACAACTTTATGTCCAGGGCTTTGCACAGAGCCCTCCAAAATTTAGACGTAAATTGGACCCCTCGATCAGAGACAATGTCCTCAGGTACTCCATGTAGTCTAACGATCTCCCGGATAAATATTTGCGCCGTCTCGGCTGCTGACAGAGTCTTCCTTAGTGGTACGAAGTGAGCCATCTTGGATAAGCGATCAACGACCACAAGAATTGCTGTGTGGTCTTGCGACGGTGGGAGCTCGACTATGAAGTCCATCGCGATCCTCTGCCAAGGCCGTTCGGGAATCGGCAAAGGCCGCAACAGACCCCAAGCTTTGCTCCTCGATGGTTTGCTCTTCTGGCAGATGGTACAGGATCTCACATAGCGCTTGCAATCCTTAGCCATGTTTGGCCACCAAAAAGAGCGCCTGAGAAGCTCCAGAGTCTTGACTGGGCCAAGGTGTCCTGCCAGCGGGTGATCATGGCAATGCCCCAAAACCAGGGTCCGGACTTCCTCAGGTACCATGATTAAATCTTCCTTCCATAGGAGTCCCCCCTTGTTCTGGAGGGATTCCCCAACTGGGGTTGACGTGGCCGTAGATGCTTCCATTAGCTTGGAGCAAAGGTCCGTCTGGAGCGCCAAGAAGTTCCCCGAAGACAGGATAGTGTCGGGTACCAGCTCTTCTTCGGAGTCCTCATACATACGGGATAACGCATCGGGCTTCGTATTTTTAGATCCGGGCCTGTAAGTAATATGAAAGTTAAACCTGGAGAAGAACAAGGCCCATCTCGCCTGTCGTGGGCGTAAACGCTTGGCGGTCCTCAGATACTCCAGATTCTTATGATCTGTGAAAATCAAGATGGGGTGTGAGGCACCTTCCAGCAGGTACCTCCATTCCTCTAACGCTGCTTTGATAGCCAACAGCTCTCGATCGCCGATATCATAATTCTCTCAGCTGGGGTGAGTTTCCTCGAGAAGAATGCTACGGGATGGAGTAATTCTTTGGTGCCCTTCCGCTGGGACAGGATGGATCCTACCGCATTCTCCGATGCATCTACCTCCAAGATGTAGGGCAGGGCCGCGTCCGGATGGCCCAGAATGGGTGCCGAGGTGAATAGCTTTTTCAGAGCTTCGAATGCTTTCTGAGCCTCCGGTGTCCATTTGAACCGGGTTCCAAGTTTGGTTAATTGAGTAATGGGGGAGACCAGACCCGAGAAGTTCTTGATGAACTTTCGATAAAAGTTTGCAAACCCAAT